CACGAAATGTGAAAAAGAAACTTATTATGTTATGTGCGTGAAAAATGTATATTGTGTAAACTGTAATACACTATGAATAAAAGAAGTGGGTACCGATGTGCCTTTAAAAATTGTCCAAGTACAACTACGGAGGAACGAGGAAAGAAAGAAACATTATTTAGATTTCCAAAGGATACAAAAAGGTAAAGTGTTATTTTATGTATTATTTAAACGGCGACATTATTATTATTATTAATATATGAAATCTAGTTTACACACACTTGTTTTCCTGGGAAAACCTAATTGGGTGTTTCCCATTTTGCTGTGTGTTTGGTGGGATTGGCAGGGAATTATCTATTATGAGCTACTCCCCTATGGCAAAACTCTTAACTCGGAACTGTACTGTCAACAATTGGACCGTCTGAAGGAAGCAATCGCCCAGAAGCGGCCAGCTTTGGCCAATAGGAGAGGAATTGTGTTCCATCAGGACAACGCCAGGTCATACACATCGATAGTGACTCGCCAGAAGCTCCGGGAGCTTGATTGGGAGGTTCTTATGCATCCACCTTATAGTCCGGACTTGGCACCAAGTGATTACCATCTGTTCCTGTCCATGGCGAACAATTTTGCTGGTGAAAAATTCGCTTCAAGAGAGGCTTGTGAAAATCGACTGTCTCAATTTTTTGCCAATAGGGACAAGGGCTTCTATGAGAGAGGCATAATGAAATTACCTTCAAAATGGCAACAAGTTATCGAACAAAACGGCGCATATTTGACCTAAATCGGATCATTCTAACTATGGTAATTAAAGCCTTCAATTTCATGCAAAAATAATGGATTTCTTTTTACTACACCTGATATAATTTTTTATAAGTATTTTATACTTATATCGTATGATATGTTTTCTGTTCTTTCTTTGTGATATATACTTTGCATGATATGCATGCTTAATTTGTTATTTGTGAAACAGGTTTCAATTTTCATAATTTCTACGGTTCTTCATATTTAATTTTTTTCTGACATTATTTTATAATATATTCTAGTCTCGTTGCATGTTTTTATATATTTTATATTTTTGTTCTGAGAAATGTTATACTAATAATGTTATTACAATTGCAAATTTCATGTAATCTGTGATATTTTGTTTTAATTGTAACATCTCAAGAATAATAAAAGGGAATAGTGTAACAATGTTAGAAGCATTACTCTATTTTATTTCAATTTTAATTACAACATGCATGAAATGTGTAATAAGTAACTTGTCTCATCTCATATTACTTTTATTACTTGCTATGATACAAAAAAAATTCACTTTGCGCATGATACACATATGACATGCTATATTTTATACTTTTTATTTGTTATATAATTTGCACTTATATTGTAACAGACATTCATATTTTCATATTTGTTTTCCCGTTTTAGACATTATACCACTTATATCTCCTTACTAATTTGGACCTACTACAACAAAGGAAATAAGGAACAAGATGAGCTCCGTAGAACAGAGAATATGTTACAATTAAACAGACAAAATATTTATATTTTTATACTTTGTTACATTACATATAGGAATATATATGCTTCATCATGTACTCGACTTATTACATATATATAATAGATATAGGTTAGGTTAGGTTATACTGTTTATTATATAATATATATTTACATATATACACACACTATTACATATATACACACACAATATTTTAGAATTATATTATGCAGTTCATATTCTCATATTTAATATTTACGTTTTACACATTTATTGACAACAAATACAGTTATGTATGAACTAGTAATTATGATTTATCTTTTTTTTATTGCAATTGCACATTCTTATAAATATTTTTGCATTTACTACTTTTCATGTACATATTCTTATTTTAATATTTTATTTGTCGGCGCATACACAACATCATGGCCGACGGTTTCACTCTACATCAAAGATGCCGACACTGAGTGAACTTACTGTATCTACTTATACTATGCCTATACTGTACCAGATCTGTAAATATGAAACCGGAATTTGCCCATAGATGGCCCTAGCTGTCAATATAGTTACCGTCAAACCGCGTCATTGGCGCCATTTCCATTTGTTGATATCTGACAAAGATTTTCAACTCACAACAATACAAGTTTCATGCAACAGCATAATTTGTAATAGCGTTGAACATGTCGAATTTTGTGCCTAGAAGCTACGATTTGCGGACAGCATTGATTTTCTGTTACCATTTGAAGAAAACTGCTGCAGAATCGCATCGAATGCTTGTCAAAGTTTACGGTGAGCATGCTCTTGATAAATCACAGTGCTTTGAGTGGTTTAAAAAATTAAAAAGTGGCGATTTTGACGTGAGAAACGAAGAATGTGGAAGACCACCGAAAAAGTTTGAAGACAGCGAATTGCAAGCATTGTTAGATGAAGATGACGCTCAAACGCAACAACAACTCGCGGATCAATTAAATGTGACATGAGAAGCCGTCTCCATACGTTTGGACGCCATGGGAAAGATCCAGAAGATGGGAAAATGGGTTCCACATGAACTGAGTGAAAGACAGTAGGAAAACCGAAAAATCACTTGCGAAATGCTGTTCGCCAGGTACAAAAGAAGGTCATTTCTCCATCGAATTGTGACTGGCGATGAAGAGTGGATATATTTCGAGAATCCTAAGCGTAAAAGATCATGGATAACTCCAGATGAACCATCGACATCGACTGCAAGGCCAAATCGCTATGGACGGAAGACAATGCTCTGTGTTTGGTGGGATCAGAAGGGTGTGATCTATTATGAGCTGCTAAAACCTGGCGAAACCGTTAATACTGAACGCTACCGACAACAAATGATCGATTTGAATCAAGCTTTGCGTGAAAAACGACCAGAATATCAAAAAAGACAACACAAAGTGATTTTGCTTCATGATAATGCACCATTATACACAGCAAAACTGGTCAAAGAAACGATTGAGGCGTTTAGTTGGGAAATACTTTCGCATGCGGCTTACTCACCAGACTTGGCTCCGTCCGATTAGTACTTATTTGCATCGATAGAACACGCACTTGCTGAGCAGTGCTTCACTTCTTACGAAAATGTACGAAAATGGCTCGATGACTGGTTTGCCTCAAAAGAGCAACAGTTTTTTTGGCATGGCATCCAAAAATTGTCAGACAAGTGGGAAAAATGTATAGCTAGCGATGGACAATACTTCGAATAAAATATTCTTTATCATTTTCATACAATAAACGTGTATTTTCTATACAAAAATTCCAGTTTCATATTTACCCAGCAAACACAATATTATATGTAACATGCATGTTAGTTGTAATTTCCTACTCAACAATATAACTGTTATATAACACATGTGTTATATGCGCCGACAAATAAAATATTAAAATAAGAATATGTACATGAAAAGTAGTAAATGCAAAAATATTTATAAGAATGTGCAATTACAATAAAAAAAGATAAATCATAATTTCCTACTCAACAATATAACTGTTATATAACACATGTGTTATATAACAGTTATATTGTTGAGTAGGAAATTACAACTAACATGCACGTTACATATAATATTGTGTTTGCTGGGTAAATATGAAACTGGAACTATGCACTTGTAATATTGTGTTTGCTGGGTACATACCTGGTATACTTTATGAATCAATAAAGAATTTACAGTTTTTAATTATAAACCTGTGTTTTCTATCAAAATTATTTCTTGCATGAATTTTAGGTGAATTAATCCTTTACAATTTTTTGGTTTATCTTAACGATTCATATATCATGAATTTTATTTCTCTCGCAGAAAATTCTACAAGACCAATTTCTTAAGTTATCTTAAAAGAAAAATTCCAACATGAAAAGAAAATATTGGGACTCTAATAGTTTTTAAATAATAAATGTTTAAAGTTGACTAACCATAATGGTTGCAGAATTCCTGGTCTTAGATATTACAATATTAATATACATATGTATTTAAAAAGTTTTTGTGTTGAAAATACATGTATATACAAAATGTAATTGCCAGGTTACTTAAAAAATAATATACTATAAAATACATTTTCAATATGTGTATATGTTTTAATATATGTATATAAATTTGGTAAAATATATGAAAAATCATGATAATCTAAAGTATATATACTATAGTTATATTGTTACATACAAATATTTTTAATTTATATAACATGTTTACAGGCTTTTATCTTAATGTTAGAATAAAATCATATACATAATATATATAATAATGTGTGCGTGTGTGTAAATTTTATATGAGTTATTTCAGTCAAAAATTTAACTGAATTGATTAATAATTTAGTTAGAGTTAAAAATTTATGTATGTATATATAACTAAAGTATACTAAGTATACTAAGAAAAGAGAGAGAGAGAGAGAGAGAGAGAGAGAGAGAGAGAGAGAGAGAGAGAGAGAGAGAGAGAGAGAGAGAGAGAGAGAGAGAGAGAGAGAGAGAGAGAAAGAGAAAGGAAGAGAAAGAGAGGATAAATATAAAAAATATAATATAGTTAAATTGTAAATTAAAACATATAATTAACAAGATGTATTTGCTAATATTATATAGATAAAATTGCAGCTACATGTACAATTATATCATTACTATACAATTGTATCATTAATAATTAAATTGTGTAAATAAAAATATGTATTTATATATAATATTCAAAAAATTAATAATCAAAATAATCATTCCTGATGACGTATAATAAAAATAAATAAATTGTATAACATAAATATATTAAAGTTTCAAGTTCATTAAGAATATTTATCACTAAGTTTTTAATTCTATCTAAAAATTCTTGTTGAAACATATTTTCATATACACTTACAATACGTTAATAACGATAAAAATGCAATAAAAAATTCTCTACAAGCAGAGATAAAATAAAACAATATCGTAAGTCTTCGATATAAAATCATCTTGTTATTTAATTTGAATCAAAGCTAATATCATACTAAATAACTTTTGTATTCATATATATGAAACAATTTTCTTAAATACGTAGTACGTAAAATAGATCTCTTTAAATATTGCTTTCCTTTTCATGCAATGATTTCATTTCATTCTTTTTTTAATTACTGAAATAATTTTTGCAGAAATGAAAACGCAGTTAAAATGTGATGTATTTTTATACATATTTGTAAACATTTTCTCTTGAATTTTCTGATTTCTCGCCGCGGAACATTTTATTGATAACGTCAGAAGCAAGAAAACGCATGCTCAAAATTTTTGCATGTTATTTCTAAACAAAATTATATTTGCAAAGAATATTTCAAGTCGCTAGAGAAACTATATTTATAAAATATTTTTCCTTTGAAAGCAATAACCGTAAAGTGATTATAATATGAGGTTGAAATAGTTATGCTTAATCAAGTCTCATATTGCACTCATTTTGTGGTTATTGATTGACTATCATGAGAGAAGCATAGTGTTCGGAGCATTTTACAAGTATACTCTAACGATCTGAAGTATTTTTTTTTTAGATATCTTTTTATTTTGAAATAGTACACAAGAATTTTTAGTGTATCATTTTTTGTCTTTAACATTACAATATGGCTGCTGCAAGTATTTAGGAGCCTTAACTGCAAGAAGTATCGATGGTCAATTTTATAAGTCATAATAAATTTTTTAAAAGACAATAGACAAACATATCACAAACATAATAGATAAACATATTCTTTAGGAAAACAGATGCAAATTGTTCTTTCTGCAGATATAAGATCATACAGGAACTTCATAAGATTTCATGACATTAACAATTTTATCAGCTCGGAAGATAAGCCATAATTTTAACCATAATCGCGGAATAAATAATTTGAGAAGTAATAATAATGTTTTGTATCGTAAATATATTAGTTAATTCAAACTCACTTCAAAGCAAGTATCGCGTAGGCGAAGGGATTTGTCTCGTATCTTTTCTCAATGACATCATGAACGGTATGTTCTTTCCGTCGTTTGTCATCGGCAGAGGCATGTGCCCTGCGAAATTCGTAACACTCGTTATAGCTCCGGCCTGAATGAGCTTCTGCACCACCTTTGGTCGATTGCTGGTGTTATCGCTCTCCAAAGCATGAAATAACGGCGTTCGTCCTGATTTCATATCTTTAAGATTGACATTGGCGCCAGCTAATATCAGTGCACTCACACCTTCTACATCGCAGTATTTACAGCAATAATGCAAGGCAGCAAAACCTTGAAAGGCGAATTATGTATTAGCGATAACAATGCAACCACAATTCTCTGCAACCATCTTCATAACATCGCTCTTCGTTTATGCACAAGCGATTCTACCTTCCGAATCTACTTGATCCAGTAACTTCGGACTCGAGACGTGGTTAACAAGCATCGCTAGCAACGCTGATGACCGTTTAGCGGCTATGATCAATGCTGATTCGCGTAACGATTGCAGTATCACTGGCTGGGCTCCAGATTGCAACAAGAGCTTTACGATATCACCGCGCACGTCATATTTTATCGCCAACTCCAAGCTCGTCTGAAAAACACACAAATTGATCTCGTTATGCGATGCCTCTTGTAAAATTAAATCAAATGAAATTCTAGATTAAATATGAAAAGAAAAACGATCGATTGAACTTACCTCCCCATCTTCGGTCAATATATCGACACTTTCTTTACACTGTTTGAGTATCATTAGATACCTTTGAACGTCGTAAATGTTATTTTTTATGACGGCATTATGAATACTCAGCATGCCGTCTTTGTCGTACTTTTTGGCAAGTTCGAAGTCTTGCTGTAATTGCTCTATAATTTTTTGGTATCTCGCATTTGTCGTTGACAAGGTTTCCCTCACTTGAAGAGCGCCTAAATTTTCCTCGCATATTTTACTGATGTAACTGTCTATGTCGAAGTCACCTTCTTCAATTGTGTCAGAAGTCTTGCATCCATTGGGTTGCTTGACATTGTCAAAAACTAGATTGTTTTGCATTGGTAAGTTTGGCATGTAAAATATCTCATGAGTGACTTGTTTTAATCTTTGGATCTCTTCTATGTCCTTGTTTAGTAATATGAAAAATGATGGGTCGAGTAGTCCGAACACTGTAGTCTGTACTTGCGTGTCGTGTACAGATTTTAATTCTTCTGGAGGACATTTTGGAACATGTCTCTCAACACCAATGCAGCACTCTGCTAAAGCTTTTAATGCTTGTGCACGCAGCTCTTCATCTTTTACACTGTTTACTGCCTTCCTAATAACATTCCATTTTTCTGATACATCTTTTTGAGGTAAGTTATTCCTAGAACAATCTTTGTTTTGTTCATTTGACTGTATGTCTTTGCTGCTAATATCTGTGATCTTTCCTAACTCCGAAACACATTGTATATCATTATTAGTTGATGAGCTCTCATGTCCAAGTCTTTCTCTTGAATTCATGTCATTTGTATTATGTTTTGATGATGTAGAAACTGCATTGTTATCAAATGAAAGACTATTATGATTAGGCACAATTGTCATAATATCTTTTTGCGCTCTTGTTTCGTGTACTTGCTTACTCTTGTGAATTACATCAAAATTGATGTGAAACAAATTATTTCTCTTTTCTAAAGACCTTACTACCTTATTGTGATTTTCTAAATGGGTGTTGATGCTTTTTTGGTCTGAATCTTTCTGGTTATAAACTTGTGTAGAATTCAATATGTTTTCAGAATTCAATACGCTACCAGCATTCAATACGTTATCAGAATTCAATACATTACCAAAATTCAATACATTACCAGAATTCAATATATTACTAGAATTCAATACATAACCAGAAGAGGTATCTACTTTTTTACCTCTGGTAGCTTTTGCAGTAGAATTACGTTTGTTTTTACATGCTCCAACACGCTTCTGTACATTATTGTTTTTAGGAGTTAACATAAGTTTTTCACAACTCACTATAGGATATCGTGACTCAGCAATTTCTTTAAAAAATAAATTTTCTGTAGTAAAAGAAATCTTGCTCTCTGCTGGAATTGTTGATGTATCAACTTTATCAAATTCCATCAAAGTATTTACATTATTTATTGTACATATTTTTTTTCTTGGTATAGTAATAAGCTTATGTTTTGCTTTTAAGTGCTTTCGACCATCACCATTTGCAGTATAATCTGACTCCAGACCTGTCTCATTTCCAGGAATTATTTTATTCCCATTATTCTCTATTACTTTTTTATTAGTAATTTTATTACAAGTCAGTATTTTCTTACTAATATCCGCAGTTTGATTATTTTTGTTGGATATTACAGATTGTATTGATGATATATCTTTATTACACTTTATAAAAGTATGCTTTTTATCAGATGTTATTCTCGTCACTTTATTTTTTGCTATGTTTATAGATCGTCGCTTAAGTATACGTGGAAATGTCTTTGTTTTTGTATACATGGAAATATCTGTTTTTTTTGTCTGTACTGGCAGTGGAGTTAGAGTGAGTGTTAGTGGTTTTGAAACAGGCTTCAAAATATCTGACTTAGTGATGGTAACTATTTGCTCTTTTGATGAATTTTTATTTTGTATTTCTATATTAAACTCTCCCAGATCTTTACCTTTGGCAGACATAATTCTCAACTTTTTACATGGCATGTTTAAAAAGCTCAAACTGGGTTGAATTTCTATGTTATTAGCAATTGGTGATTTAGGACGTTGCATATTCAATCTTTTATATAAGATAGAATTACAATCTGTAGTGCTAGGAAGTTGTGGTGATGACTGGAATTCGCGTACACATTCCATTAATGCCTTACTTATTTCATGCAAATTTTCCTTTGTCGATTTAATTGATTTTTTCGGATCCATTTTGGTGCTATTTTTAAAATCTAAATATAAAGTTTACCCGCCAATAGCGGAAGGAATTTCCGAAACTCCTTTTTTACACGTTGATTTCTATTGGTGTTATGATCATAATAATTATTACATATTTCTATTATTTACAAAAATTGTCAATTTATAAAAAAGATAGTTTTCTAACGATGTTTTATATAGCTATGTCTGCACTACTGGCACTTTCATCCAATTATCGATCGTTAAATGCTCGTATGTCTCATGTTTCAAGGTAAAATCCCCTTAAATGTCACAATATAACCTACAATTAGATAAATAAAATGTCTTAGAGTTTCTCACCAAATAATAAAATTATCTATAAAACGGGATATGCTCTGAAGCACTTCATAAATGTACAAGCTACAAATATTTGCTATTACTATAACTTCTTAAGATTTTATACTGCACTGACGAGGAATCACGGTACTTTACACGAGAGAACGGGACATCCCTGTTATTCTATCCTTCGTAGCCGAATCAGCGATACTCGACGTGTGATCACGAGTATGATCTTTTTTTAATGCGTTTTGGAACGAATGATAAATGAAAAAAATAATTTAATCTGATATGCATAGAAAAAATTGTTGCAATATTTTCTCTATAATTGTGCCAGATTTTACATTTATAAAAGGAAAAATTAATTTTATAAAGATATAAAAAAATGTCGTTATCTATAGCAGTCAGAAAACAAATTTCATTGTTGAATATTGATATGTCACTATATGGCCAGTGTTCATAGTTAGATTTTATATTTAAGAATGTTTAAATTTATCCCCTGTATAAAATGTCGAATTGAAACGTATTAAAAAATATTGACATTTTGAATATGTCTGAATTCTGCTTTCTGATCCAAAGAAAGGGATTGAAAAGTATTGGTTCCTATTAAATTTCACCGCACTAAATGCGAGACGGCAGTGGTGAATGCTTCGCATTAAAAAGGATTCAATTTATTTCAAATATGTCTTGCATTCAATCGCAATCGATAATTCTCAAATGCGAACTTTCGCATTGAAAAGTATTCATTTCTTCACCTAATTGTTTTCGGATTCAGAGGCATACAAGATTTTCACGTTCTATTCCCCGTAGCATTGAAAAGTATTGGCCCGCGATCTAATCCGAGATTTTCGCAAAGCAGAATTCACGACGAAATCTCGTAAATGCGAAACAATACTTTTAAATACGACATTTTATACAGGGTCTTTTGATGCTGTACGAATCATTTTATTGGTTGCGTTCAGAAAACAAAGCGCTAAGTAACTATTGGTCCTTATTGTTAGATCTTTACATTCAGACCAATAACGTTGACGAATTACTCAACCGTTGTGTAACCGTTGTGTTTTCTGAACGCAGCCATTGACTACAAAGTATCTGAAGACGAACTTAAGACAGTTTTAAATATATGATCCAACTACGAGTATCGGCCATAATTCTAAAAATAACATCCACTTTTGCGCGTAGAAAATTCGTAATCGTAACCCAGGTAGCAAGACGACGTTTTGATAACGTACGTTTTAATGACGTTATAATAACGTTAAAAACGTCTTAAGCCAGCGGCACACGATGCTTGTTTTCGTGCTAGATTGCTTGCTGGATGAAAATACTGCGTTCTGATTGGTGCATTTCCATCCATCTTCGGAAATGCACCAATCAGAACGCAATATTTTCATCCAGCAAGCAATCCAGCACGAAAACAAGCACCGTGTGCCGCTGGCTTTAATGACGCCATAATGACGTCTTTAAATGTCATCTTGCTACTTGGGGAGTTTCCAACACGTAGAATCAAATAAAACAACACAAGTAAAAATATGTAACCGTAAGACTATAATCGTAATCGCAAAATTTCCATTACGTTGAAATTTTAACGCCTTATAGTTAATCAATAAAAAAACAGCAAAATGACCTATATTTTATTTCGATAATTTCCTGCGGTAATTTCGTCTATTAAGGCTCATCTACATTAGCTGTAAGAATAAAGGTCATTCTACAATATGTGTCGTAAGTTGTAAGCCGTAAGAATTGACGAATCACAGTCGATTATTACAAAAATAATCGGCTATAATTGGTCAGTTCTTACAGCTTACAACTTACGACACGTATTGTAGAAGGACCTTTAAGGCTCGTCTACATCAGCTGTAAGAGTATGGCTGTAAGGTTGCAAGACACGAAATGAAATATTTTCATTCGCTGACAGCTTACGTTACAGCCTTACAGCCTTACTCTTACAGCTATTGTAAACGAGCCTTTAAGGCCTGGTCTACAATACGTGTTGTAAGTTGTAAGCTGTAAGAAACTGACCAATTATAGCCGATTATTTTTGTAATAATCGACTGTGATTCGCCAATTCTTACGGCTTACAACTTACGACACATATTATAGAATGACCTTTACAGCTAGTGTAGATGAGCCTTCAAAGATCTGTTTTGTAAACGTGGACAAATATTGGGAACTGTGTTGCGCTTTATATTTTATTTCGTCATCCAAATTATATGCAAATATATAACATTTTAGCTTCTGTTTATTAGGTTAAGATTTTGTACACATACATATAGGCAGAATAGAAAATCACAACGTTAAAATGACAAAGAAAACTCATTTTTCATCATGATTCGATCATTTTCTCATCATTTTGATGTCATCATAATTTTATGTTCTATTTGGATGTTTAATCGTTTAGCCGTTAATATATAACTAAAATATTCCATATCAGATTTTCTTTGATGTTAAATATTTATGATTGGAAGAAGCGGTGTTTTTGCTGTTCTTCGTTAATAAAATCGCAAACCTTCCTCTTTCGAATGTAATTTAAATAAAACGTTGTGTTATCCGATATCTGTAACCAAAATTGAGAGAGAGAGAGAGAGAGAGAGAGAGAGAGAGTAGTGTTAGTTACCTTCTTGATAATTTCTAACATCTTTTTGCTATTTCATATTTGTTATCATTTATGCTTATTTCGAGCTTCGTGTTCCACTTATGTTATTTCTAAAAAAGCGTTAGCACTTAGCGAGATTTCTCTATAGTGAGATTTTGGAACTCATTAACAATAACGACACAAAGCAAAACACTCAGCGTTGTGCAAGTATAATAAGGAGTTTTTGCAACACCGTCTTTCAGATACGGTAAATGTAAATCGTGAACGTTATTCACTTAGGAATAACGTTGCAATGTACACGACCAATAGCATTCACGATTTATGTTTACCGTATCTCGGAGAAGGTATTGGCTGCGTTCAGTAGAACAAAATGATCAGTGAGCGCTTAGTGATTTTTGTCTGTGATTGGAGCATTCTTTTAGATTCTTCATAAACCCAGAAGTATTTACCAATCAGGAACGAGAATCACTAAGCGCTCACTGATCACTTTGGCTACATTCAGCAGACTCAACAGTTGGACAACATTACTAGATTTTTCACTGAATCTCGCTCCTGATTGGTAAATACTTCTGGATCTATGAAGAATCTAAAAATATGATCCAATCACAGACAATAATCACTAAGCGCTCTCTGATCATTTTGTTCTATTGAACGCGGCCTTTGTTCTGCTGAACGCAGCCATTGCAAAAACTCCCCAGTATCTCATCAGTGCCGCTATGGAATTTTCAGGTGGATACCAATTCGGCACGGTACGATTGGATACAAAGTAAATGATTAGTTGGATCTAGTAATTCACTAGATAAAGTGTATCGGTTGGTTGTGTCTAATCGTCCAATGTCGAATTGAAACCCTCCCTAATTTTTGTAGTAATTTCCCTAAAGTTTATAGCGAATTCTTGCACTAGTGCATACTGAGTGTAATCAAGGCCTTTTCATAGTTCGTTCTTACATTTAAAAATCATCTTAAATACTTAAATACATCTTTAAATACTTTTTAGCCTAAAATCAGCATCCGTACGGATCGTTGTATTGATTATAAATAGATCTTCGTATTCAGTGTGCACTGGTACAAGTGACCGAATTTGCTATTAATCACGTTCCATTTAAAATATCCAAAAATCTATGAAAAATATAGTTAATTAGACTTGTTACACATCCCAGACAGCACATGACCTCCTGGGGACGTCCTATGGACGCCCTGAGGATGAAGAAATATCCCCACGACGTCCTTAAGACGTACTCTGAATGTCCTCTGGACATCTGTGCTGTTAGGGATCTCTTCTTTGACTACAACTCCTTTTTTAGAATATACTGGATTTTGTTCCATTATTTTCGTATTTAGCTGATACGTCTAAATTTCCATTACTTTTGGAACTTTTCGAGGGGAGATCCCAATTCGACACAGTATATTGGACACATCTAACCGGTCAGAGTTTTATGTGAAAAGCAAATTAGTAAATCCAACCAATTATTTACATCATGTCCCAATTGTGTTATATCGAATCGATATATATACTTTTTAAAATGCTTTAGTAGATCAGTAGCCCAGACAGCACCAGACATCCAATGGATATACATTTCACGTCCAATTTATTAATATTAATTATGTCCGTATGTGCGATTTACGTCCGTGGACATAAATTGGGACGGAACAAGGCTTATTGGACATCGGACCTGTAGGACGTCCGATGTATGTCCATGAGACGTCCTATGTCCGAAGTTGTGACAAACATATCCTATGAACGTCTTTTGTAAAAAAAATGGACATATAACAGACGTCCAATGGACATCCGTGTGCTGTCTGGGAGACTAGTGGTAATGGATGAAGGGAAACCACAGTGAATTATCGGCGGGATTATAGCACTTGGATTAAAAGTTACATGACAGATGCTTCGGAAATTCACAAAGATCATCAATACTCTCACGGTTATGCATAACTTAAAACTTAAATTTGTAAATTTTTTGTACATATACTTTATTTATTATGGTGTAATGCATTAAGTGTTGCTTCTGGAATGTTTAACAAATAGCTTTTTACTTTTTCACCAAGAGAAAAATATACGATTTATATTAATATATTTATATTATATATAGATTTTATATAACATTTAAATTAAGAAAAGAATAATCAGGAAAAAAAGTTGAGACAATATCAACATGAGGACTTCTTTGATTTTCTCCTTGTTCTTTGTTTCACTTTGTTCCTACTTAGTAACTATTAATAATAATTTGCTCTATTCATTATCAGTACAATTTATTATTTCATCTATGCAATAACAATAAAGTAGCAGAGTTGGTTTTCATGAAAAAATGTTATTAAATAAAATAAAGATATTTATAGTACTAATGATTTGAATAGCTTGTAATGTGTACATATTGAATCATATTTAAATTCACAGCCTAAAAAAACAGAAAATCTCAAACATCTAATAAATCATGAAAATAAGTGAAAAATACACAAACTGTTCTTGGTTTTTGTCGAATGATGTTTTATATATTTCCTACCTGAACTTTATTAGCTTTTATTACATATCACGATAATAGTTTTATTTATGAGTTGCATTTCATATAATAAATTTTCTATTACATTTATTATAACTGTATTTTTAATAAATTTATTTATTTTAAGCAATAAATTTATTTATTTATCAAATAATCGCAATATTATTCATGTAAGAATTTTTCATTTTTCTATTATATATATTAATTTTATATTTACAAATTTCATTTGTATTTGTAGAGAATCTAGAGATTTCTGTTTGTTATCTACGTTTGTTATCACACATACTTAAGTTAAGCGTATGAACATATCACTTATATGATGCAATTATGTTCAATGAAACGTGACATCGTTACTTCAATCGGCAATCGTTTCTTAATTCAAATCATGAGAACGTGCTATCTATTCCTCCATGTATCTTTATTTAAGATATTAATCCTAATTGCAGTGGTCTGTCGCGTATCTTTTGTTCGTTCAAATGCAAGTAATATCAATTCTGATCTTCTGAAGCGCAATTTGATACTCGATTTTCGGTTTACACTATATTTATTTCTCTTTATTTAGCGCTTTAATAAACTCTTCTAACTTTTCCTGGATGTGTCTAACCCGTTCTGAAATTCAAAACAAAACATGATAAGTTAATAAGAATAAGAGATTCTAATATTTATCTTTTAAAAAGAATCACTACCTTAGAATTTATCACTGCCATTTCATTAATAATTTTTTATGTGCAAAAATCTAACACCTTGCAAATTTATGATAATAATAAAAAGATACTGCGATACATACTAAGCTCTTCAGCTAATTTGACTCGTTTGCCAGTGAGTAATTCTTTCTTAATCTTATTATCCTGGCTACAATCCTCAAGAACATCCTTGATCTCTCTTTCTAATCTTCGAGCTTCTCTGTTCATGATTTGTTGCCGAAGTGCATTCGCGGTAACTTTGAGCATTTGTTGGATTCGCCAGAAAAGTACCACATCGTTGCATTCCATCTAAAAACAAATCCGTGTTAACACATTGTTAACAGCGACTACAGTAAGCGTAAACATGTATCTTCTTTACACACTTCATTCTCATGTCCGGTATGATATAAATAATATCCTTTCTTGCAATCATACGCTCTCGCCAAGCTCTGTTGTAGGAAAAATCTTTCATATACGGGATGCCACGTCTCTCGGATGAATTCGTTATTGACTTCAAAGCCGTTCTGCTGCAAATTCTTCCTAACGGCCGTGAGTTCGTCGCGTGTCAGCTTAGATGGGTGTTTCTGTAATTAAGAATTCATGATACAGTCGCTACGGTAAGAAAGCGACTGCGGAAATATTCCATCTCACTGAAGATATCCTCAAGTATATACCTTGTCAGCATATAGAATTTTATCCAGTTCGTTCTTCACGGCCACACGTTGCTGCTGCTCTTCGCTTTGATACTGCCAATAAAGCCACCGTTCTTTACGATTGGGACCCAGCATATTGCGCAGGGTCATTTCTATGCTATTCAACTTCTCTTTCACTGAATTCTCTAGAAATCGTACTGCTTGATCCCATTCGCGCTTGTCGTTCACGCTTCTGTCTTCCAGAGTGTTAAGTTGGATAACACGTAGCATGTCCGACGCCTACGAAATACATACAATTGTTTAACATTTACCACATAAATATTGTGAAGGTCTATTGTAAGAATCAGATAATATAAAACAGAATATTGTGTTTACTTTCTCTTCCCAGGAATGACGCTTCATTGCTTCGTTCACAACGGCGTTTTTTAGGTCATCGAAGATGTCGTCATGGTCCGGGCTAAGTCGAGCCTGCGTCATAAAATTATGGAATTCCTGCTGTAGACTTTCCCATCCACTTTCAACGCTGCATGCTGGAAGTTGCTGATCCGCCCACTGTCTGAGTTTGATGTCGACAGTGGTGTTAAACGTACCTGCAACGCAACGGCATCTTTACAGAATTATTCTGCTTTCATTATACGAATGGGATCTATCAATAGAGTTATTTATGTTATACTTGGATTTCCGCTTTGAGCAGCAGGCAAGTAGATGTTATCAAAAACGTGCTTGCTGACTTTCTCCCAATTTCGTATCATCAATACCTCCTCCCAATGCCTTGGTGACACCTGCGACAGATTTACAATTTCGTCCAGAATTTCGCCACGTGCTTTCTCGAAGAGCTCATCTCTGTCTAGTTCCCGTAACCTAAATTATTATATTGTGAAGTAAATCAACACAAAACTTAGACAAAACACTTCTCTTACTCCAATTACTCACCTTGGAAAATTGTTTTTCCATTCTGTTTCCAAGTTAAACCTTGTGGCTTTGAACGCGTCAGCTTGTTGCTCTACTGTCTCGCGTACCATTTTCCAAAAGCATTCAGCTACAGCTAAACTCAAGTTTTTGGTAGTCACTTGGCCCGACATTGCTAAATTATCTCTAGATGAGAAGAATGTTCGTTACAACGAATATATTCTTAAATAAAAAAAATAAATATCCAGATATAGAAACTATTTGATTAGTATCAATAACATCCATACTTGAAGAGCTTTGAATTTCTGAAGAACTGTTCCTCGTAGTCCTTGATCGTTTGTATACTGTCATCCTGTCCACCACGACCGGTAACCACGGCGAAGTAGCCTAACGCTTTCATGGCGAATAGCTTACCGGACAATATCTCGCGTAATCTTTCCGGATTGGCGAAGTTCTTTTCCGCCATGTCAACCTGCCGTGGAAGAACAACCATGCGTTTGATGATCATGGAATTGATTTCTGATTGTGTTACATCTAATCTAACGAGAAAGGATTCATACTTTCGTCAAGACAAAGATCGTTCTTTTGCCGGATGGATCCATTTGAGATACTAGGTCAGTCACGTTGCTTCTTTCCGCATCGACAGATCCGTCTTGTATGCAGAGAATGATAGCATTAGGATTGCTCATGTGCTGTTGGCTCATTTGTTTGATCGCCTCGCGAGTATCCTCGGCCATGTTAACAGTTACTGACTGCCTTAGAGCGATTCAAAATGGTTACAATATTGTAGGATTTGCGCTCCAAAGTATATAGAAATGTGCTATATACGTACACTAATAATACCAGGTAGATCGACTAGAACCATACGTTGAAGGCCCGGTCCCTTCACCGTCATAGATATGACATCCGGGCTGACTGTTTTGCCGTCTTTAACACTATTCTTCATTCGCAATTCCACCTCGCGTCGTAGCTCGGCTAGCTCAGACTCTTTCGTAAGATCGAATTCTCGAGAGCTATCTTTGAATTGTGCTATATGATACGGTCCTTCACTCAGTGTGACTTTGACCGGTGCTCTCGTCATCATTTGACCTGCTCCCCTGTTTCAAGATGTTGTTGACTGATATTATCATGATTACAGTCTGCGTTTGTATATGATATAATGATAGAAAAAGTGTACCTTGGAAATATCCTTGCCTGAACGACCATCTCGAGCACGGATGTTTTACCGGAGCTTTGATCGCCAACAACCACTACTCTAGGTAAATGATCGGCAGTGGAATAGGAGCTGTCATAGTCGCTGAGCTCATCCAAGACATCGCTGTACATATCGATCAAAGATTTCTACAACGATAAGATCGATCTGAGCAACGCTACAAAGAGGCAAACGTCAAATCAATATGTACAAAATCAAGCTTGTTACTTTGATTTTTTTCTGGTTGAACTTCTGATTTCCCCGTAGGAGCATCTGCTTGCGTAGCTCTTTGTTTTCTCTTTCTAATCGCTCTAATTCACGTTGATACTTCAGTAGCATCTGCATCGGATCCTCTGACATGGTATCCTGTCTCGAGTATTCTTCAATCCGACAGAAAATAACGATGAACATGCAGGACGCATTGATATGAATGAGTGAGAAAAATATTCAATGCACATTAGGATAACATTTACGTACGAGCTTTCTTACGTTCCTCTTCGGTATTATCGCTTGCTAATGGACGTGCAAAAGCAACCTTATTTGGCAATTGATCTTTTGTTTCTGTTTGAAAATAAAATGTCAATATATTTACAATTCATAATCGTTCATATCTCATTCTGTAAATGCAAGAAAGCTGGTATCAATTGACATTATATGAGATTAATGAAACATGAAAATGGCCGGTTCTCCATGATAATCAATGAGATTAAATCAGAAAAAAATAGTGCCATGAAAGATGCATAAGTGATTGCAAACAGAAAGCGTCGACAGATGGTTTTGTCCCATTCAGTATTTGAAGTTAAAATATCTTTTATTATGTGTGTTATTTTATGTAGCGTCTATATATATTTGATTTACTTTCTGAGCATTTTTCATTGTTACAACAAAATCTCTCTCATATTCTTTCGGATTCTTTGTTGCAAAAATTGTTCAGCTACAAAATGCTGAATGGACAGATGAATATATACAAAATATTAATTATCTCAGATTCTTTACACACCTGAATAAGCTTTCTTAGCCACCATTGAGATGGTGTTAATTGCACCTGAACAGAACAGACCATAATAAACTTATAATTAATTACGCATCTATGAAATACAATGTGTTTTGGAAATATATACTGTTTAACCAATGTTTAAGAATAAGCAAACTTAGAAGTCGGTATTAATAAATCCGTACATCAATACATGTAATTTTACATAAATTTGCACATATAAGCAATTTATAAGTCCAGACTACGTATTACAAAATTATGAGAAAATGAAAAGAATTGTAAGTATTGAATAATAATAGTTTTAATGGTTCATACTCTAACAATAGTCAGGCGCGCGTGAAATTATTGATAAGCAGGAAAACGTTAGGCAAATGGAAAATACAGGATAATAATGGAGATTATGGGATAAGATATATCATGAATAATTATGGAGTAAAGTCAGGAACAGCAGGCAATATAAAATACAAAGTAACATTAAACATAATAAGCTCGTCAATCACTCACTCTGTATAGAATTATTCTCTAGATCTCTTTGATGAATTTCTGCTGCTTTAATAGCATCATCCAGTCTTTGATTGAACCAAACTCTGTACTCCTCATACTTAGCTTGCCCATACTCCTTTATACGTGGATCTATTCGTATTTGTCCAATTTTTATCATAAGTTTGTAACCCATTTTCTTTGCCTCACGTTTTCACAGATATGAGCAATTATATATTTGTCACGCTTACCAATTTCAATCTTGTTAGCCACAGTATTTTTAACCATCAGCAATGATCCACGGAAATCTTGCCATTGTTGTTCAGTAGGCATCATATTTTCTAACCATCCTAAATCTGGCAATGCTTCTTTCCACTCATCATATTTCTGCATAGATATAAAAAAATTGTGATAAAATGTCATATAATGAAATAAATAATCATATTTAACAACTGACATGATTCTATAATTTAAAGAGATGCAAATAATGCAAAGAAAAGCACAATTTATAATATTTACTTTCTGCAAAGTAACTCCACCACCAACTGCACCTCCAAGAAGAATATATCGAATTTTTAATGCTCCTCTTAAGATCCTTGCTATCACCATAGCATAACCACGATATGGATTTGTGAAATATCTTAAATGTGGTGTAGCAAGTAATGGTCTGTAGTATTTGTTGAATTTCCCAGACATTAAACTCCGTGTGCTGACTAGTAATACTGGATGTTTCGGAGTTTTAGAAACCAATAAAATGCTACGACTGAAAAGAATATATTTTGAAAATAGAAATAACTATAGTTTATATTCTGTTTATAGCATTATGTTTTGTTTGGAAAGACTTATATAAGTAAGAATTTAAAAAAAAAAGGAAAAAGGAAAAAAAAAGAATACAAGTTATGCATATACTTTAGAGAAATTATAAATAAAGGAGATGTTTTAATATAATACTATAATGTAATGTGAAATTACAATTTTTTTTAATGGTACATTTGCGTGTATTACAATCTGACTTATCGGAGAGTGGAGATACATATTTATGAGATACGGGTTGTACGAATAAATCAAATTATTTTAAAAGACAAGTATTATAAGTGACTTACTAACTTGACCTCTTTGATCGATTTGAATTAATCTTACCCGAATCTGCCATATATGAATTGTTTCATCTCTCGTGACAATCTTCTGTTGTTGATAAATAACTTGAAATAACTGCTCTTGTACAATAAGTGAAAAGTAATTACGAAAATTTCTTAGACTTATGTTACGAAATATATCTAACATATATCAAGAAATCAAAGGTGTAAAACTTTTCTAAAAGCCAACAGTTAGGTTATTGCATCACGAACCTTGATCATTGGTTTTGTAACAGTGCATATCGTGCATGTACCCGGCAAAACAGGGTAGAGATAGCAGATGTTGAAGGAAATAATTTGCTTCTAAAATGTTTATTAAAAAATCCATTAAAAAATGACTCCATAAAATTTTGAAATCACCAATAATAATTGATTAATTTAAACTTTCTTGGTAGTAAATTTGATCTATTAATGATAAATGTCTTTTTAAAAATTTGAATATAAAACTGTAATATCATATTATATTGCTGCGTTCTTTTTGTTATCGTATTTTGTGTATAAATAAATATATTAAAAACAAATATATCAATATAATGTTACCAATATTTCGAGAACTATCATTCGACTAAAATCTACTTCTTAGTCAAGATTCAAACCATAATTTCAAATATCAGAAAAACTGTAGCCATCGACGAGATATTTGGTCTGTTCTTTTTAGCTGCACTACTGAACTGATGCAATAAATTAAAGTGAGAAAAAATATAGTTGTCTCATTCTAACTTATTGCACTAGTTTCGCAGTGCAGCTGAAAAGAATAGACCAACTGGCTGCGTTCCAATATTCACTGCCAGCACTGAAAATCTATAATACGTGACACAAACCATGTATTTGCAATACTGGCAGTGAATTTTGGAACACAGCCACTATGGCTGCGATGTTCACTGCCAGTACTAAAAATATATAGTTTATGTCACAAATATTATAGATTTTCAGCTAGCAGTGAATATCGGAACGCAGCCTGTAAAGACTGTTAAGTCCGTATCAGACTACGGATTGGGATTGAGATTGGATTGAAATTTGACCAATTGGGAAAAAGAAAATAATCTCGGACATAGTAAACTTAGCCTTGATTGATTGGGTGCATTCAGTACTACAACCGCTCACTGAGCGCTCAATGAGCTTTTACATTTGATTGGTATATTCCTTTAGATTTAAAAATATACACTAATCAGATGCAAGAGCTCACTTAGTGCTCAGTGAGCGGTTGTAGTACTGAATGCACCCATTAAATTTCAATCCAATACTCAATCCCAATCCGTAGTCTAAAGCCAGCGGCACACGGTGCTTGTTTTCGTGCTGGATTGCTTGCTGGATGAAAATACTGCGTTCTGATTGGTACATTTCCGAAGATGGATGGAAATATACCAATCAGAACGCAGTATTTTCATCCAGCAAGCAATCCAGTACGAAAACAAGCACCGTATGCCGCTGGCTTAACACGGTTTTAGGGCTCCCTTGGCTAAGAGGCCTTCTACAATAAGCAATTAGTTATAAGCTATAAGCAAATTGACCAATCACAATTGATTATTTCAAAAATAATCGACTGTGGTTGGTCAATTTAGTTACACATATGATTAACAGCTTATTGTAGAAGGTCCAAAACGGAAAATTACCCTGGGTTGTCAGTTTTTATATTACCTCGTCAGTGCTAATGCTAAAAATTAGCTCCCATAACATTTAATCGTCATTAAATTAAATGTTTTTTGTAAACTTTAATTGCATTCGATAAATAAAAATTTTTCGCAAGATAAAAATTGATCGATATCAAAATAATCGAAGTGATATCGCTCACTACTTCTACTCTGGCTGCGATCCGATATTCACTGCCAGTATTGAAAATTTATTATATACGTGACACAAGCTATATATTTTCAGTACTGGCAGTAAATTTCGGAACGCAGCCTCTAAAGCGATGGTCGATGATTCACTGATAAATCAATAATCGATTTTTCTCAAGGTTCTTTATCAAGGATCAATTATCTTCTCGACTTTTCAAATTTGATTAGTTCCAATGTCGATAGTTCCTTAACGCAATTATTGGATGTTTAATCCCTAATTTTTATTCTTCAGTAGACCATCGACGAGACACTAATAAAGACCGTTGGTCTTATGAGAAATACCAGAGAAACATCTCCTAGCACTAACGCCCTCTTAGGAATATTGTAGCTGAAATATAAAGCATAAATATCGAAATAAGCATAAATAGTAACAGATATGGAGTAATGGGAACAAGATATCGGAAAGTGTCAAGAAGGTAACTAACACTGCGTTTTATTTAAATTATACTCGAAAGATAAAAATACACACTCAGGTGTTTATATTCTTCATACGTTCATACGGCATCGTGTGATCTTTCTCTCGTCGTTTCAAGTAACTAGAAAACATATCTTTTGTTTCAGATCCAGTAGAAGCTAAACTAATTTTTTAATTTACCCAGGGCTGAGTCTTTAGCATTACCTCGTCAGTAAGTAGACTAATTTCTCGTCACGCAATAGGACTCTTATTTCTTGCCGCGAAAAAGTAGACTTTTTTTATTTTTAAATACGATTCAATGACAAATTAAACGGACCTTGTACTTTTAAATAGTACGAGTTAAGGATGTATGAGACCAACTTCAATTTTATTTCCAAAAACACAACACGATAAGATCTATATCTTTATTAAGTGCAATGCAAATTATTCTTGAACGAAGACCTGCACGTTTCCTTGCAAAATAATTGTATTATAACTTATTAGGAATAAAACGTATTGTTGAATAATTTTATTTTCCTTTGCAATCCTTATATTACAAAACATACTTTTCCAGACACATTGAAAATATGCTCTATTTACATTGGGTCGTTACCTACTTTTTTGTGCTAGAGATTTTTTTATTTTAAATTTTTACAGGAATAATATTAATCGCTATCTCGCGCGCATAGGCTTTCGTATAATATATATGATTATGGCAGTACATTTACATTAAAGTCTATAATCGTTCTTTTTTTTTTTTAATAATTTCTTTCGCTTGCGTGTAACATGTATAACGATTTTTCTTGTAATATACGAAAATCTACATACTTATATTATGTGCACGAGGCGAGTACGAAAGGAAAAAGAATAACGTCCGTGTTCGCCGAATGCGCGCGCGCACGCACGCTTAGCATGTGTGTATCTTCCTTTATTTGTTTTTCCATATCTTTTGTCGACTAAACGTGGCCCCGTGTCGGCCGAACGCGCGAGTTTGAGATCTAGAAAAGTTCGTAAAAACAACAACGTGCGAAAGTCAAAAGAAATTCGCCTGTTTCATTCGCTCGAGCAAAGGTTACTCTCGGTATCGTCTCCGAAATGTTTTCACGCCACCCTGCGATATGTAAGAATACGTATGAATATGTAAGAATATGCAAGAATACGGAGGAATACGTTTCACGAGTTACGAAAAGCTGGCAGAAGCGCTAAACTCGATTGGACCCGGTTTTACGTTGTCCTTTCCTAAGTAAGCGGCTGGCTGAATCTCTCAATATTTTTCACTCCCGCCTCACCACCTTCCCTCCCGACTCATCGCTACCCGCGTCGCGAGGGAACTCCCCTACGTTTAACTAAACGTTACAAATGTCCTAGTATTGTCTAAGGGTGCCCACTTTGTTCTCCGCTACTTGTCACACATTCAGTCTAAATTCGCGTTACTTGCGGTATTCTTGTAAGTCCTCGAAATTATAATAATCTTATAGAGTGCGACAGAATACTCTTCTAATCGCTAACTGTATATCCTAACGCCAAGCAGTCTCTATATATACATCTTATATCTTTCCCACTTGCTTCCACAGGAAAGGAATTACATTCTAAATCATTCTCGTACTCGCTCGATGTTCGCGGTGTAACGTGATATCTGAGAAAAAAGGAGAAATAAAGAAAACAATGGAGAGGAAGTGAAAGAAGGTAGGAAGGAAAAGAGAATACAAAGAACTCACAACAAATAACTTCTGGCCGTAAATCGCGCGTGGTTCCTCATCGTATCTATCTAAACACAACCGGAGACGAGAGAAAGTAGAGAAGCGCAACGCTCGCTCGAGGAGACATGCAGGGATAAAATCGTTCCCTTTTCACCCTTCTTCATCGTGTTCCTCCTTTTCGTTTCGCGCTCTCTCTCATCTTTGCAGTCCGGATTTTTCCTAGAAAAACATGACTTAGTCATCGCGTTCACTCCGCTCGACGTTCTTTCGCGTCGTCGTTCTTAATCATGAAACACGTATCAAGAGGTGCTATTTCTGTGCTTCTTGCTCTTCGCTTTGCCGGACTCGATCTCGTCCTCGCTCCTACGTCGCTTCTCCTTCAACTGCTTCTCCATCGCCAACATCGTGATCATTCGCTTGTGCGAGTCGCCCACTATCCAGCCGTGCTGCTCTTGCCGATCGTCCTCTTCCTCCTCCTCGGGTACGACTACTGGCTCAGGTTCAGGTTCTTCCTCGTCGCTTGAACTGGACCAGTAGTACAGCTGAAGGGCAGCGGTGCGTTTCCGCCGGCCGATCGCGAGCCCTACACCCTCTTCCACTTTGTTCCACGACTTGGTGGTCTTCAGTTCCTCGTCGTCAGAGTCGCGCTTCCCATTGGACGACTTGCGCTCCTTCGAGTCCTTGTTGCTCGCGGATGTCGTGCGGTTCTTCGATTTCTCTGTGCTCGACTGCTTGCTCTTTTGCTTGTTCACCGGGTTGTTCGCACTGTCGCTCGCTTTCCTCGACCTCGCCGGCGATTTGGAGTGCTTCTTTCGTTTCGCCGGCGGCAACGGGCAGCCGTCGCTCTCCGCGCCGGCACTCTTCGTGGTCGAGAAAACACGATCCGACTTGTGATTGTCTTCCAAGCTATCGAGAGGAGAGTGACTAGTGTGCTCCTCCGTATTCTCCTCAGCATCTTTCTCCTCGTCGACTCTCTTTTGCTTATCTTTCATCTGGTGTTTCTTCTTCTGGGTTTGCACAGCAATGACTTTGGCGGCCTCGATCGCGTTGTCGGTACTTGGCGCTAGCACATCGTTCGGGTTTTGCGCGAGGATCTCTTTCCTCTTGCCGACTTCTCGCAAGATCTCTTCCTCGATCGCCTTCTGCTCCTTCGCGATCATCTGCTCGTGCTTCTTCTCGATATATCGCTCTTTCCTCTTCTCCTTGGATTCTCTCTTCTTGCGCAGCTTGTTCTCGTGTTCCGACCTGTCGCCGCTACGTTTGCTGTTATCCCTCGCATAGGATTCCTCGTCCGAGCTGCTTATTTCCGCCAGCAGGCCTTGCTTCCCTATCGCACACTTCCTTTGCCTCCTGGTCGGCTGAAAGTCCAGGAGTAACCGCTCCTGCTCCTCCCGCATCTTATCCAACTGCTGCTGCTTTCGCTTCTTCGACTCTTGCACCTTTCTGCTGAGGAACACATGAAGCGGCAAGTTGTCGGACTCCTTCTGAGGCTTTTCATTGCTGGACAGTTTCTCAGGCAGCACCGGAATGTCGTCGTCCGCATCCTCCTTCTCGTCCGGCCCTTCCGTTAGACTGAGGTGTTTGCTCTCTACTTCCTCACGACCGATCCCATCGTTAGAAGCTTCCTCTTCTTCTTCTTCTTCTTCTTCTTCTTCCTCTTCTTCCTCCGCTACGACAGCTCCTATGATGCCGTTCAGGAGCTGCGTGCCTTCCGTTGCTGCGATTTCCGTCCCGCGAATTACATTCTCCAACTTCGGCTCGAGATCCTCGTGCCGATCCAAAAGATCCAACGCTTCCTCCAAGGGAATCAGTTCCTTCTCCGGCACATAATCGTTCTTCACGTTTGTCGACGTAATTTCCGTCACGTCTTCGAACGTGTTCTTGTCCAACGTCTCTACCTCAATTGTATTCTTCGGCTCCTCAGCTGTCGGTGCCACTGTCTCGTTCTCCTCGGTTTCCGATTCCGCGTCCGAGCTGTCTTCCCTGTACAAATCGTCCAATTCGAACGTTCTCTCGTACTGATTGTCACAGTCGTCGTCGCTGTTCCTCGCCTCGTCCGTTGCCTTTCTCTCATCTATCACCAAGGAGTGGTCTGACATTTCCGACTCCGACTTGGCGGTGTCGCGGCTCTTCTTCGTGGTGTCTTCTTCCTCATCAATCGCTGATCGCTCCCTCCAGTCGTTCGCAGTCTGATCGTCGTTCTCCAACTCGAGCTCGTTAACCATTCGACCGTTACGATCCGTGTCGTCTTCGTCAACGTCGACGCCAACGTCAGCGTCAACGTCAGCGTTGAGCGATTTCTTCGGGTACTTCTTCGACTTCGACGGACGTGGCGATTCGCTTGCAACCACATGGCCGACGTCGGCCGATTCGTACTCGCTCTCAGATGAAGTCGACAACTCCGCGAACAAGTTCTGCTTGCCCTTTGAACAGGCGCGCTGGCTTTTGGAAATGCCAACGCCGACATCCTCCGTCTTCGCGGCCGTCCTGAACTCATCCGAGCTGTCGTTCTCGTACCACGTGTTCTTCCCTCGTTTCTTCGAGCTCTTGCTTCGTTTCTTCAGCTTGGATTGCTTACCACTGCCGCTGTGCTGTACGGCGCTGCGCTTCAGACGTTGCTTCCGCTCCACGAATTCGTCCATCGGTCCGCTGATCGCCACGACGACGTGCTGCTGCTCCTCGCTCTGGAAAGACTTCAAGGCGCCTTTCGTCTTGGGCGCGAACTTCTCCAGTTCCCGGAACTTGCGATCGGTCGTGCTCTCGTTTACTTTCGCGTCCGCGACGTAGCTGGCCTTGCCGTTCTCCAAGACTGCTTCCAAATCCTCGTCAATGTTCTTCACTTTCGACCAGCTACTTTCGTAGTGTTTCTCCACTTGGCTCCTGTAGGACATCACGCTACCCAAAGTGGGCGCCGTTTGACTCTCCTCCTCGTCGAACTCGTATACGTCCTTCACCCGCTCGATCAGTGGCTCCGTTTTGCGCTCTAAGGAGTCACGGCGTTTCTTCTTCTCGACCAGGCCGCCGTAGTGCTCGTCCCTGCGGATCAACGGAAACTCCTGTTGCTGTTGCTTCTTGCTTTTCTTCGATTTGCGCGGTCGCTGCGCGCTGTTTAGCTCCACGAGTGTCACCGTCTTCGAGCGTTCCTGCTGCTTCCTGTCATTCATCTCCTTCTTGCGCTCGAACAGCTCCCTGATAGGATTGCGCGTCTTCTTCGTAGACGAGTGTCTCGGTGCAACTGCAGTGTCCCTCGCCGACTTCTTCGGCGAGTCCGAGATAGAATCCTTGGCCGCGGCCGCTGCCGCCGCGGCCGCCGCCACCGCCACCGCCGCTGCGACCATCTTCACCGATTGATGATTCTTGCCGTCCGTGGTGTCGTCCTCCGGCAACGTGGACGTCGGGGCACGTGCACACGCCAGTTCTGCCAACAGCTTCATCGGAGCGGAGCCGCTGTAAAGTGAGATGACGGTTCATCAAAAAAAAGGCTCAAAGGATGAGGAAAAATGCAGGAACAAATAAACAGCTTCAAGATAAGCAAGAGTTTATGCAATACGTGGATGAGTAGTGGACAATGATAAAATACAAAAATAAAATGTAAGACATCCCGAAATTATGAAATAGTCTAGATCGCTGTTAATGAGCGCGACGAAAAGCAAGCTATTATTCGGCCTTTAATGCTTCCGGATAGTTCAGCAATATTTGTGAATGAGGGTTTTATTCGCCTCGTTAAAGACGATCTTACTGAATGTACGTAAACACGACGGAGCGGGAAAGAAGAAAGAAGAAAAAACTAGGGAGGTGAAAATATGCAGCGATGAAGTGCCATTAACGCAACACACCGACAATTTCGGCCGGGTGGGAGCCACGCGGCGGGAACTCATCAGTGTGACGATCAACATGAGCGCAAGTGGAGTCTCGGTATTCCTAAAAACGCAGGTGTATACACTCTCTCGAGACGATGCTCTCCCCCGATCAGGCATTTCCCGAGAGGAGGAAACACGTTGGCTCGTAAATAGCCGGGCGAAGTAACGAACGTCGTGCGTCAGGTGCTATACTAAGTGCGCTCTAGGCAGGGTCCTATAAGGCGCTACACGTCGGTGTTGTTGCGGCGAGATCGCTCATCGCGTATAGGGCGGAGTGACGAGAGAGAAAGAGAGAGAGAGAGAGAGAGAGAAGGATAGCGCGGATCAATACGAACGCAACGTGAACGAATGGGCATCGTTCGACGGGAGACGCGGTCTCACGGCCACCCTCGATGAAACCGAGCTCGTGACTGCGCTCGAATAATTCCAGCCCGAATGGAAAAGGAAAGGAAGAAAGAGCAATCCAGACGTCGGCTGCCTCTCGTTCACCGCCTCGCGTTTTACATAACGCTGCTCGTGTCGTACTTTGGCCGCCGGGAAATTAATCGTCGTCTCGACGACGACGACATGCGAGAGCGCGGTTGTTATTTTCCTTTCCAGCGAGCGAGCACTCTTTTTGCCCGTGCCGGTGCTGATCATGCGCTAAATTCGATAGCGCAATCGAGGAATCGAACGGCTGCGAAGCGTACGGCCGGCGCGAGTGAAGCGATCAACAGGTTGCTGAACCGGCGCGCGATGCCGAAAAATGCGCGATTTGATGCGCGACTCACTGTATAAATACAGTTAATTTTTTGCCTTTATTCTGCGAGTTCGACATTCCGTTGCATATGCACCCCTCCCCCGTTCGGCCCTCCTTCATTCGCGTCTTTTTGCAGAGATGAGATCTCGTGTATGAACCGGCTGAAGCGCGAGGCTCTCCGCGAGAACGGTGTCTGTTGGGAAAGGCTCTGCGCGGAAATCGATAGCAGCCACTGTCACCGCAGACGTACGAAGGAAATCGACTAATTGTACGCCCGGCTTTTGCTGAGAAATTTTCGATATCGCAATGCCAATGGCACGACTTTGGTGGCCGGCGACGTTTCGCAAGCTTTTCCGCGAAATACTTCTGAGGGAACCGCGAGAGCAGCCTCGTTCCTTCAAGAGTCCTCGACGAATCGTTACTACGCCAATCTGGAAAATTCATCATTGCCTCGACTCAGTGTTGTAACAAATCGAGAATAAAGACCCTCGCGCTGTATTCATTCAATATAACGTCGGTCTTCCAAAACTGATTGAATCTGAATGTGGATCGTTACATGAATCATTCTTGGTACAACGGGAATAAACGAGATAACTCACTTATGATCATGCTTGCTGTTGTTGTGCAACAAGTTGGACAGTGCCTTGTCCAGTAGGCCACCCAGGGTAGCGTTGGCCTTGTTTCTATACCCTGGCGACGGTAGCTGGTCTCGGTTCGACGCAGCTGAGCCGGACAAGTGCTCGTGGGCATTCGAGGAGTACGAGTCGTCTCGCTTGTCATCGCCGAGGCGATCCTGCTCGTCGTCGTTGGTCCGTTGGCCAAATGTGCTGGCTATCAGACTCTCGCTCTCCCTCATCCGCTGCTGTATCTTATCCCGCAGCTTGTTGTTGTGCTCGAAAGCGACGTCCAAGCTGTCCTCGTAGCCCAGGTTGTCGGCTCGCGACGCGTCCGGGCTGGCTGATCTGCTCGACCGCTCGCTGCCGCGCGTCCGGTAGCTCCTCTCGTGGCCGCTGTACATCTCTTCGCCGAGTAACTAGGATGTCCAGATAAAGCAAGCGTCACGTATATTGCAGCACGATGCCCCGTCTTTTTATCGGGACGACGATAAAGAAGAGAGGAACAAATGATAGCGAAATTGCGACACATTTTCCAATGATAGAATCTTGCGCTTGGTCTTTTATAAAGGAGACGACAGCAGAATTTCTAATGAGAATTGGCTTATAAATTATGCACCCGCGAGATATTCTTGGGGATTTTACAGCGGAACATATTTATGGTACGGCCCAATTCTCTCCTCAACAATCGACAATGATTCATTTTTAGGTGACCAAGCTACTTCGAGAGGACGTCGTTCGATAGCACGGGAATGTCATTGTCAACAGCTGCGACTTTTCTCTCAAAGGTCCCAACTTAAATTCACTGTTTGTATCACTGAAATACCCGTTTCCGTGTCGCAATTAGATAGACAATAATATGTACACGTACACGTACACACACACACACACACACACACACACACACACACACACACACACACACACACACACACACACACACACACACACACACATATGCACATCTCGTCTACGAAAATCGTAGCGAGCGCTTGATTTATAAAAGTATCGTCCAACAGAAAGTGCCTAAGAAATCAATACTCACTTGATTCACCGATTCCAACAGACTGCCGAGGCTGTTCTGGCTCTCCACGTCCCTCCATCGGTCTCTGTTGACCCTGAAGCCCTGCGGCTGGTCGTCTCGCCTGTGATAGGACTCCGTGTGGTCTAGCTTGATCTTCTTCGCGCCTCTTAGTTCGTTCTCGCTCGTGGCCTTCAAACGCGAGCAACACTCCACGAAAAGCTCCTCGTCGAAGTTCAAGATCTTGCCTTGCCGCGGCTCGGTAGTTGACTCGATCTCTCTCGGCACGTCCAGGGCGTTGTCCTCGATCGCGTCCGTGGGCGCGATCGTCACCACATCCGACCTACGACCCGACGACGGCGACCTGATGACGATCTTCTCTCCGGAGAACTCGCTCGTCTTCCTGGAATTGTCCTCGTGTGAGGTGCGCTCTTCATCATCGTCATCGTCCTCCTCTTCCTCGTCTTCTTCCTCGTTGTTGGAGCTGCTTTCTATGGAGCTGTCGGGAGTCTCACGAGCAAACAACGGCGACATCCTTCGCCTACCAGCATCGTCCTCGTCGTCGTCATCCTCTTCTTCCTCCTCGTTCTCGTCCTCGTCGGACTCGCGGGCTGTCTGAGAATTTCCATCGAGGACCGTTTGCTCGCTCAGAGCCGGCCCTTCGTCTGCTAGGCTACTGTTGCTGCGCGATGACGCCGTGGCCTCCTCGTTCTTCTTCTGCGTGATGTCCTTCTCGCTCGGCCGGTCGTCTTCCGCGGGAATCTCCTGCTCGAACGCAGGATCCCTCGCCGATTGCCTATAATCTTCGTTAGCATATCCTTTCTTCTTCTTACAACTCGCCGACGCTCTCGTCTGATGATCCGATGCTATTGGCAAGTTATCCTGATCTTCACTCGCGTATTTCGGAGTCATCAGGTCGTGGTAAGATAGGTACTCGTGACCGGTGTTCTTGGCGATGGTCAGATTCTTCGACCGGTTCCGCGACTCGTTGCTCAATCGCGCCGTTTCACCATCTTGCGCCTCATTCTTTGTTTCCTGATCCTTCAGGTTGATGAACGAATCATTCTCAAAGTCCTTCGTACTTTTCCCCTCCGTTTTCGTCTTACCGATTTTGCCTGTCGCGTTGGGATCCTGTCGCTTGCGAGCCGTCGAGTCCTTCCTCGACTTTCCACGTCCGCTGCTTGCCTTCATCGGATCCTGATCATCTAAATTGGCGTTTTCCCAAGCGTCACCCTCCTTGCACCGTTTGGTGCTCTTCGAATTACTCGAGCGATCCGCATCTCTGGGCTCGTAGAGCGTCTCCCGCTCCTTGGAGGTCTCGCGAACGTTCTGATCGTTGAAGAGGCACGACGAAGCGCCATTGTTCTCGAATGCCCTCCAGACTTTCTCGTCCGCCTTGCTCTTGCTCTCCCTGCGTCTATACTTGAACACGTTGAACTGCGATGGAGACGAGGAACGCTCGTTTCTCGCGGTACCGTCTCGCTTCTTACGGCAGCTGGAGCCAGTCTTGAACTTTCCGTGAGTGTCGTGGCCGGCTCGAAGATTCTCCCAGTCGTTGGCGCTGGAAAGACTTCTCTCCTTCGCTCGATTCCAGTCCTCCTCGCGGTGCCTGCCGGATTCCTTGTCCTTCTCGCTCACATGGCCATCTTCGAGCTGACTTCTCGACTTGTGCGTCTCATTAGCCTCGTTCATGTCGTCATTCTCGTCCGAGAGGACCGGCGATTCTTCGTCGAAGGTCTTCACGATCCTCTCGTCCGCCCTGATCTTGCTTTCTCTGCGCTTTCGTTTGGTCGGGTAAATAGGCGACTCGGCGTGATCCTTGGATATCGTTTCGGGAGCTTTCTCGCGCTTCTTTCGATTCTTCGACTTCCCGTGAGTACTGGAGCTGCTACCCCGGTCGTTTTTCTTCTTCCTGCCTGATCGTTCGGTGTCCTTCTTCGCATCGGAGCCTGCATGCCGTCTCTTCTCTTTCCTGTGATCGCTTTCAGAGCTCTTCGTCGAGTTACGCATGCAGGATATCGCTTCCGAAGCGCTTCTCGACATGTCCGAGTCGTCCTCCGACCGCGACACCCAGTCGTTCAGCACCTCCTTCACCTTGTCCGCCTTCTCGCTAACGAACACTCGGCCGAACACACTTTTAACGATCTTGTTCTTGCTCGAAGAGGCGGTTTCGTTCTTATCTTCATTCTCACTGTCGCTCGATAGCTCAGTGATCTTCACCGTAGCCTTCTTATTTTTGCCCTTGAACGCCTTTGATTTTCTGCGGTCAGCTTCTCGTTCTTTGTTGCTCGATGACTGGGACGATTTCGACAGCTTCTTGTTAGGTGTCTCCGCCAATTGGATCGTCGTCTTCTCATCGCTGTCATCTATTGCCTCCCGAGATGGTAGTTCGTGAGAACTCACGACGGGAAGCGACTTGTCATTGGACACCACTTCGTCTTCGCTGTTCTCCGATTCAGACGACAGCTTCAGTTCTTCCACTTCCTCCGTTTGGGGTCGTTCGCGAATCTCCTCTTCAGGAGATTCCTCTTCCAATTTCGTCAGCTTCTCGTCCAACGGTTCTGACTGATCTGTCGGCCTCTGAATCTCGGCGTTTTCATCGACCGTTTCAGATTCCACCGATTTCAAAGCTTCGACCGTGGTTGGTACTTGCGACACATCGCACTGAGCTTCCTCGATAATCTCAGACGAAAGCTCAGCTGGAAGCTCGTCAGTCGGTTTAACAGCAATATTCTCGTTCGTTTCCTCAGCTGGAAGCTCGTCAGTCGGATTAACAGCAATATTCTCGCTTGTTTCCTCAGCTGGAAGCTCGTCAGTCGGGTTAACAGCAATATTCTCGTTCGTTTCCTCAGCTGGAAGCTTGTCAGTCGGGTTAACAGCAATATTCTCGCTCGTTTCCTCAGCTGGAAGCTCATCAGTCGGGTTAACAGCGATATTCTCGCTCGTTTCTTCAGCTGGAAGCTCGTCAGTCGGGTTAACAGCAATACTCTCGCTCGTTTCCTCAGCTGAAAGCTCGTCAGTCGGGTTAACAGCAATATTCTCGCTCGCTTCCTCGTGACTTGGCTTATCCTCCAATTTCACGTCGTCGGACGTATCGACGATGTTGTTTTCCTCTGACGCAACGTTAGACCCTTGGCACTCTTCATTTTTCGTTGATGCGATGTCAGCTATTTTAGCCTTTAGAAGTTCCATTTCTTGCGCCAACCGGTCCTCGGGAGTGTCCAGCTCGGTGAGCCGTAGCTCGTTCTTCACTTCAGCGTTTGCTTCCTCAACGTTTAGATCCTTTTGCGCGAATTCCGACAAACTCGATTCACGCGTGTGATCTTCAACGGTAGGCAAGAATTCAGTGTCTGGCGCCGAAGAATCGACGAGACTTGGCAGAGCAGCCTCTTCAGCGGCTTCAGGGTGAGACGCGACCTCCCCGATCTTCTCTTTCGCTTCGTCGCGATCAGATCTCGTCGACACGGACACGGTGCAGCTATCTGTTTGCACGGGAGGATTATTCGCGACCTGTGCGACGTTCTTCCTAGGCCTGCCTCTTTTCGGCTTAGAAGGCTGCACGTTTGTATCGAGATGCTGCGGCTTGCAGGTCTCCTCAAAGTGCTCTTTGGTATGCGAACTTAATTTTTGATCCTTGAGTTTTGATTTTTCGAGTTTTCCTGCCTCTTCGACGACACCGTTCGCTTCGCTGTGCTGCGTTTCGGGTTCCGCAGCAGCGGCAACACTTGTCGCGTTCGGAACGACTCGATCTTTCAGTCTTGGCCTGCCACGTTTTCTACCGGACTTGGTCAGCTCTAGTTTCGATGGTTTTACAACTGCCTTGTCCTCACAGGGTGGGTCAACGTGCTTCTTGTCGTGCAACTCCGCTGTCTCTGGCAATGCATCCTTGCCAGTCTCTACATCCGCTTGGTTAGATCTCGTTTCCATGTCGCGGTTATCGGTTATTTCATCGCCGTTCATTTCTATAGAATTGTCCATAAAGTACATGTCGACGTCGGACTCGTCGTAGTGTTGGACCCTTTTGTTTCTTCTGAGTCTTAGACTGAAACGATTCGAGGACCTGTCGCTGTCGAGCGAGGATACCGTTCGATCCTCGTCTTTCCCGTCGTTATACACTTTGGAGAGTTTCCTCAGCGTGCGCCTTGTTGTTTTCGCGGGCTCCGTGGGCTCCTCTTCTTTGTCGATGTCGCAGATTGACATCTTGATATCCTCCACTCTCTCACCCAAGTTCTTCATGGCCGACTCGGCCTGGTTTCTCGTCTGAGCGGAATTCGCGCGAGTTTCTTCAGGTACATCCTCTGCCAGTTCTGACATTTTCTCGATCTCTTTCGTCGTGCTACTTTCGCAGGGTGGTGGTGGTGGAGGAGGGACCAGTGTAACATTATTGGCCGAGTTTGGCAGCTCGTCGGAGTCGATCTTGGACTTGTTCAACTCGGGACTGTCCAGGATCAAATGTTCCTCCGCCAGATTCCTCTTTTTCGACTTGTTGCGTTTCTTCTCGCCGTGTCGGCGTCGCGTCGAGTTCTCTTCACCTTTCGGTTGGATCGATTTCTTGATCGGAGTCGACGACGCCTCCGGCGGCTGCGGTGTCACGTGGTCGGTCAATACGTACTCGTCGTGGCTCATGTTCTCGGTGATCTTGCAGATTTCTTCGTCCAGCAGCTCGTCCTCCAGCGACTGCTGCCTCGTCGCTCGGATATCCATAAGAGAATTCATCGATTCCGCGTTGGTAGAGTAAGCAACGTAGCTCTCGCTCGATTCCACAGAATTTCCGGAGGGTTCTCGTGACACATCTTCCGAGACACTTCTTGTCTGTAAATAGCTCGTTTGATAATTTTTCCAATCGTTACTAGTCTCCCCGACGCTATTCTCGAGCATGCTGTGGCTGTTGGCCAGCTCGACCTTCTCGACCTTGGCAGTCTTCGACATTTGCGACAAATGGGACTGCGACTGCGTGTGCTTCTTCAGGGAGCTCTTACGGGTGAAGCTGGTGGCGCACACGTCACAGAAGAATCTCGCCGCTTCCTTCGTCAGCTTCCTCCGCTTCTCCACGATGAGGATCTCGCCAGTCTTGGTATGCACCACTACAAAGTTACCAGCGGCGCGTTTCTTCGAGGACACTGGGTCGTCCGGCGAGTCGCAATCGTCCGATGCTTGCTTCAAAATGGTGGGCGAGTCGTTGTTCGTCGTAGCTTTGTCCGTCACCGCGATAGTCTCGTTCGCGTTTTCGTTCAGCTTCAAATCCGAGGACTCGGTCAGGTCGAGTTCTCTTTCGATGTTTTCCAAGACTTTTGTGTCCTCCAACGAGGCCTGGATGTCCACTGGATTGTTGATGTCATCCGTATCGGAGAGATCCAGGTGCTCATCGAGCAGCGACTTCGTCTTCCCTTTTGGCTTTCGTCTGTCGTCGTTCAACGCCTTCGGATCTGCGACGGAGGAGTCGGCTAGAGGCTTTTTACCAGCTTCTTCGGTGTCCTCCTGCTCCTCCTCTTTCTCTTCCTTCTTCTTTTTTTTCGCGAAGCGCTTTTTGCGAAAGTAGCTGAACTCGCTAGTGCATGAGCTTTCAGACAGGTCATCCGTGCTCTCGGCACCCTGACCACGCAGCCCGGAATCGGCGAGATCCTCGTTCGACGACTGCTGTTTCTTGCGAAACGCGGATCTTACCTTCGAAGATGCGGTAGGCCCGATCGAGTCGGAAGAACTCGATCTCTCCAACTTTCGCGTGCTGGATTCCTCCTTCACGGCGTGTTTCTTCGTTTCATCCGGCTCTTCGCTTTTCTCGACCACGTTGGGAGTCTCGCTGACTTCGCCGGACTCGTCGTTCGCGCGAGCCTCTTCGGGAACGCTGCCGCCGTTCCAGCGACCGTCCTCGGGCAACGATTTTCTCTTTATGCCACGTTTCTTCGCGCCCTGCAGCATTTCCGGCACTTTGAAGTGTTCCAAGCTGACGGATAATCCGTTGGAGTCTGCGATATTAGGTTGTTCGTTAGGTTTTGAAGTGACTTCGGCAGGCTCGTCATCCGGTAGATCGAGATGCTCATCGGCTAATGACTTCTTTTTTCTACCACGCTTCTTCTTCGTTGTTTTGGGAGGTGGCGGATTAACGGGGTCGCCCGAGTTGGCGATTGCTTGTGTTTCATTGTGTTTTTGAGGTGTCGCTTCCACTGGAGACAAGGATTTGTTTGCGGAAGCAACTTGGTCCTCGCTCATACTATTGGCGCTCATCGAATGCTGCTCATTGATCGATCCCAAAGGCTCTTCCTCTTTCGTAATGGATGACGAAGTCGATACTTCCACTTTGTCACTCGTAGAGGGCTGGAAGCTATCTATGGCAGTATCTGCTGGAAGAGGAGCGAGGAGTAAGGCGGGTTGCGATTTTCTCCTCGACGTACGTTTAGAGGAAGACTCGCTCGGGTCACTGTGACTCTTCTTTCGTGTCTTCTCCGCAAATTTTCCGCTTTTAGCATTCTTTTCCGATGAATCGGAAAGGAATGCTAAGCAGGTCTCGATCGAGTCTCCCGGCTGAACGTCGTTAATGCTGTTATCAGATGTAATTTTGTCCACGGATTCTTCAAGGTTCGTTGTTAATTCCTTCGTATCCTCGCAGGCGGTTTCTGGAAGATCGGCGGATTTCTCTGGAATCGAGTCGTTGTAACCGTTCGCAAGAGTCGAACTTGACGGCTCTGGCACATCACTAACTGTTTTATCTACGATACTTGGAACTTTCTCGATCTCGGGGGCCGCGTTCGAAGTTTCTGGAATTGCGTCGTCTTCCTTCGAAGGTTCACTTTCAACGTTGGATGCTTCCTCTGACTTGTGAACGAGTGCGACGACGTCGTCGAGCCGAAGGTCTTTCGCATTTTCTTCAGCATGTTCCTCAACGGCTTTCACCGCTCGGCTCTTGCCTTTCCTCTGCGAGCTCGCGTCCTCTAACGATCTCTTCCTGGATTTTCTCCTGGATCTTCTGCCGTTTTCCTTCTCCTCGACTTTCTCTGTTTTTTGCATCACGTCTGGTGAATCGGGAACTTCCGTCGAAATATCTGCCGTTGCTGATGGAACCTCACTCGGCATTTCCGTTGGGACAGTCGCCTCTTCGTTCAATGTTGGTTTATTCTCGCAAGATTCGATCGGTGAATTCTCAACGACGTTTACGTCACTCAACTCCTTGTCCACGTCATTGTTGACCTTCATTTCATTATCCGCAGCACCGTTCACCTTGATTTGATTCTCGCTCTGGATCTGCGTCTCAGTCTTTCCCGTTGACTTTTCTTCGAGGTCGTCCTGAATCTTCAACAAGTCGGTCGGGCATTCGACATCAGTGGACGTGTTCATTTCATTTTTACTGTTGCTCGCTTCGCTAGGACTAGTGCTCTCTCCGTTCTCGGTCAAAGCCGGCCCGACCTCGTCGAGAATGCTGGTCAATTCGTCGGCCGCGGTGTCCAGCAGAGAGCCAACCTCGCCCTCCAGCAGGGCGTCTTTCTGCTTAGCTATCTTCGACACGATCTTCTCCAAGAAAGAACCACCTTTACCCTTGTGCTTCCTTCTGGATAAATCGAGAATGATGTCGTTAGCCGGTGACCGCGCCTTAGTGCTCGTCACTTTCGGCGACACGTCGGCCTTCTGACTGGGAAAGGCGTTTTCGTCATCCTGCGCTTCGCCCGGACTAGGATGGTTGTTCCTTTCAATGTCGTCGACTCGATGATGGCTAGCGGTTGCGTTCGCCGTCACGACCTCGTTTTCCGACGATTCGTCGCCCTTGGCGAGTACCAGCTCGCTGAACGAGTCCACAGCGACCACGTTACCTTCGCCCGTCGGCTGTTGCGCGACACCGTTGCGCGTCAACCGGTCCGGGTCATTGTCCAAATTGGTGTGCACCGTCAGCACTACACTCTGCTGCGCCTCCACCGGGATATTCATGCCCTCGGTCAAAATGCCGATGACGTTGCTGAGTGATCTCTTCCTCGACGCTCGCTCTCGACGCGTTCCTTTCCTAGGACGCGCCGCTTTCAGCTTGTGGACGTTCATAGAGGCTTCCAAAGAGTTCTCCTTGCCGCTGTCGACCGAGTTGTTCATCTCGAGCAGATGACTCAGACTCAAGTTCATCATCGCTGAGTCCAGGTGCTCGTCAGAATTGTTGTCGCCCTCCTGGCACTCGTCTTCGTTCATGTCGAGCTTGTCGACCTTGTCAAGGACCTTCTCGACTTCCTTTTCAGCCTGCTTATCGCCGTACGCTACATTTTCGTCACATTTTCGAATCGGCTGCTCCTCCAGTGCACAGGCGCTGTCGGTTTCATCGGCTGGTTTCTCAAGCGATTTGTTTCGACTACGACGTTTTCCCGACGATTCGCTCTCCTTTCTGTCACCTTCGACTTCCGCGGAAGGTTCGGTCGATCGCGAGTTCGATCGAGAGCAAATGGACGACGTTATCGCCTGCCTGCTGTCGATCTTACCTTCGATATCGGGGTTGTCGCTGGCAATCTCCTTCGTCTTCGCGCCCACTCGAACGTCCCCCCCTTTTCTCCCTTGATGAGCTCGTTCGCTCGTCACTGCGTTGTTAACCGCGTCCTTCTCTAGACTCGCTTTCACCTTATCCTCGGCCCTCTTCTCGCCGTTCCTCCGAGACGATTTTCTAATTGCATCGAGCTTCTCCTTCTTGCTCGAGCTTCTTGGGCCGTCCAACTCGTAATCGAGCTCCCGTGCGCTTTTCTCGCTTGACCTTGGCGTCAATTGGCGGAGGTTGCGTTTCAAGCCACTGTCGCTGGTCGCGAGCTCCAAGGTGTTCAAGAGATCCTCCTTGCTGGCTGAGCCCAGCAGCTTCTTCACCTCGAAGGGGATGTTCGGCAAGATTACGATGTCTTTCTCCAGCTTGCTCCTCGAGTTGCTTCGAGTCTCCTTCGTGGTTTCCTCCCTCTTCCATTTGGAGTCTGTCTTGCCGATCGCCTCGCTCTTGTTAGTCTCCTCCTTCTTGTCGTCGGCATTGCTCTTGGTGGGTGAGCTCTTCCGGCTCCTCACCCTTCCTTCTTTCGGTGTTTTCGAGCTATTCTTGGAAAACGAGGTCTCGTTCTCCTCAGTCGTGTTGGTTTCCCTCCGCTTCGCCATGTCCTTCTCCTCCTTCGGCCTCCTCCCTCTCGTTGGCTTCTGCTCTCTCGCAGGCTTCTCCAGCACTGCCTCGAGATCGGTGTCAGTCTCCATATCGCTCTCCTTCTCCCTCGACGTTGAGGTGGACTTTGTGGTAGCTCGTGATATCTTTTGCTCTTGAAGGGACGCCGCTGGAGTCACGGGCGACAAGATCGGCAGGTCGTTCGTCGATTTATCGACGTACTCTTCGTTGGAGGAAATTTGCACGGCCGGCTCCAAGGTCGGCATCTTGTCGCTGTCCGACGACAGCCGGGTGACTCTCCGCGGTGGTTGAAGCTCACTTCTCTTGGCCGGCTTTTGCACTGTTTTCGGCTTCAGCTTCGTCTCCGTCAGCGTCGTCTCGGCAACTTTGCTGTGTCTGCCCTCGTTCTCCATTTTCGAATCCGGTGATTTCGCCGGCGAGTCCGGCTTGTTCGGATTACGCGCGAACTTGCCATCCTGCGTGCGTAGCTGCGACTTCGCCTTGATGGAAGCGTTCAGCGACGCCACGGGGTCCACGGGACGTTTTCTCTTCGATGTAACCTGCGACAATTTGTTTTTGCTAAACGTTGTCAATGTTTTCTTGCCGTCAGTACTGACGTTGTCATCCTTGTCGGTCGCTCTCGGTATCGTCTTCGCGTTCTTTGGTGTGCTCTTTGGAGATGATACCTCCTCGCCGCTCGCGTCGGCCTTCGTCTGCGACGTGACGACGCTCTTGAACTTCATGGACTTCTTCCTAGCCTTGAAAGTCGCCAACTTGTTGGCGCTTCTACTTGGAAGTCGCGACGAGCTTCCGATCGGGCCGGTCCTCGTCTTCACGTTCCTCCTTTTGCCGAGGACCTTGAGCCGGCCCACGACTTTCGATCGTACGGCTCGCTCGACTAGGTCGGAAGCTCTGTCGGTCTTTGACGAGCTCTCGTTGATCTCTTTGGCGTCCTTACTTCCAGTCCCCTCGGTCGCAGCGCTCTCATCGCTGCCGTCATCGTTCAATTTCTTCTTGTCGTTCTCGTGACAGTTCCTCACGACGCTCTCGATCACCGCGGATATGTTATCGCTCCGGCAACGATTCCGCTGGATCGACTTGGCGTTCTTCAGCAGTTTGTTCCTCAGGGCCGCCTTGTTACGCGAGATTCGTGAAGCGGACGAGTTGTCGCCGATCATACGGGGCCTCGTTCGAGTCTGCACCTGTTTCAACAGAGTCCAAAGCGCTGCTACAACGAGCGACGATATCGGCGGTTGCTTATCACTCAGCCCGACGAATTCAATCGTAACATCGTTGCGACGATTTCATCGGGGGCATCCGAAATTTTTATCGTTTCAGAATTTCGCCAAAGCTGTTGCTGTATCGCATTTCTCAACGTATGACCTAATACTTTTCACGAGCTGATGCTTTGCTTCCCGCAGAGTCTGCATATTGCAAGGCGACTCGTGGCTCAAGTTCAAACTACGTACATTGTAACATTGCGCATTTACTTTGTAAATAATTTATATCTCACGCGAGATATGTGATGAAACGCGGCGCCTTGTTCGCATTTTTGCCCATCTCTCCCTCACGAGACTCGGCAAGGAACGAGATCGGAAACAATTCTCGCGGTTTTGCAATTCGAGCCCACGGTCCTTTCAACATTGCACACTGTTTCCTTAAAGCGTATCGCTTAAATATACAAATACAGAGGATCATACGCGGCAAATGAATTATATTAATTAAAGAGAGCGGAGAAGCGTTTCCTTGCAAAGAGCCGTACGCGGCACAAAGGCAGCGTAACAATCGCCCAGCCTGCCTGATCGTGTCCGCACAATCGCGACGCATGTGAATGTGTGTGCCTGGAGCAGCGCGCGTGTCAACTAATCGATGCCACCGCTCGTGTGCGACGAGGCGCGCGCGAGGCAATATCGCTTTATCATTATTTCGACGAGTCTCGCCTTTTTCGTGACTCTCCCTCGATTATTTCGAATATTTGGGTCGGCCGGGTCAACTGCGGACGTAGGTGCGGCAGCGGTTTTCGCGACGTTGTTCACAACGTCATTCGTCTTGACAATACGCACAATCGCGCCGAACCCGCCGCTATTTCAGTTAGAGCCCCATCGATCATTTCTCGCGCACGTCCGGCTTTCCGTCACGAGTGTCATCGAAAAGACATCCCGAAATTGTCCCCGACAGCTTACGCGAGCACGGAGAGAGACGATGCCATTAATGAAGCGTCAGATAATGATACCAAACACGAGTCTTCATTAAGCTACACAGACTCTCAGGATGCCGCGCGTAACGCGAGATTTCATGTAATTTCGGTCGAAATTAGCGAGAACGCTTCAATATCCTAGCATATTATCGCGGGCAGCTTTATAGAGAGCCCATTAACGCCAGATATTGCGGCGTCGATATCCTAATTAAATCAGCTGGCAATTACAATCGGCCAGCGGGGTAATACCCTTTACGATTCTAATATCGATTCAATTTCGATCGTGTGTATTACCGAGGTAAGGCGCAGTCATTGTTCCCGCACGCTATTGAATTACTTACGTTACGAAGTCTACCCTGGCTCCTCAGCGCGTTGTCCTGCAGGATCTTCCTCGTGGCCCTCTTGGGTGGCAGATTGGCCAGCATCTTCTGAATGCTCTCGCCTGAAAGGCAATTCAACCGATTGATCATGGGGTTACGCGAGCGAGCGAGCGAGCGAGCGTGCTGGCGGGCGGAATTCAGGAAAATTCCCCTCCTTCTCTCCCTCGATCTCTCTTTCTGGTAACTAACTACAAGATTATGATACTTAAATTCCTTCCTCCTGAGAAACCTCCTTATCTACACGCCAATTTGACTTTATTTCAAAGCTCAAGAGATAATAACTGAAACGTATCTCCTTCTCTCCTGAAACTCCTCGTCTATCTTGACTATCCAAAAGCTAATCACTTAATTTAAAAATCAGTCTTAGCTCATCAAGCTGTTCGACTGAATATATTCTTGATTCCTTACGGTCACTTGGTCGGACTCGGGGCCCAGCCGGCTGTTGCCTCTCTCGAGGTGTGCTGACTCGCGACGAGCTCTGCGAATTCTGGATGCTCCTCTTCATGCCGCGTTGACGTCGTCTACGGCTGCGACTGCCGAACGGCCGCCACTTGCACTTCTTCCGGGCGCTGCCGGTGAGACCGAGCAGCCAGGCGTGATCGCCGCCGCACTCCAGCATGTGTCTGTGCAGCTCGCCGGTGTCGTGGCAGGTCTTGGCGCACTTGGTGCACGCCGTTTCCGTCGGCGGGGTAGCGCGTTGCGCCTCGTCGGTGGGCGCGTTGCGGCCCGGCAGATACAGGTGTTGGTAGTGCTCGCGCTGGTCGCCGGCCAGCTCGAAGTGCGAACACAGCACATGCAGATGCGCGGAGACCTTGTGCTCCTCCATCTCCTTCAGCGTCACCTGCGAGAGCGACAATACCGACGCGGTTCTATAGCGCGAGAGCCAATGCACGAATTCGCCGGGGACAATCTCACGGTCGTCGCCGAGGCCGACGACCTATATCGTCGTCTATATATATAGACCCCGAGAGCATTCCTATACTTTCGCCGCGCGGCGAGCGAAAGAATGCCGCTCTCGATTCGTCGGGGATTCTCGCGGGATGGAAGACGAAATTGACGGTGGGCAAACCAACCACCGGCCGATCGCCGATCGCCGATCGCCGACCTCACCCCGCGGCAGGAATGCTGTCGGTCGATCGGTCAATGCATCGGTCGGTCGCTGCTTGCAAATGAGATTAACGCGCGGCGACGGTGGCACTATGGTTTCCCTATCAGTAGTGTCTTTTCCTCGAAATTCCACGCTGCATTGTACAATTGCGGAAGACCCACGACGGGGCGAGAAATAACCGACGTTATTCCGCCGCCGCCGCCGCCGCCGCGCCGTTGGCACACCCGCTGCATTGGGGATTGCACAGGGACACAATGCCGATTCAGCATCGACGGTGCGATCGCGATTAATTAATTATTCTTGCCGTTATTAATAGGTCACCGTAGAAACAGTTGCACGAGTGAATCGGCGATTTGGATGAGCGTTACAGCGCGAGCGCTTACCATCGGCTCCAATGTATCGCGCGCGAATGTCAAAGATCAAGTACACACTGCTTGATAAATTCTAGACCACATTCGCGCCAATTGAAATGCACTGTCCGGTATACGACATGGATATCTCAAATCTCGTGTACAGTAAAATTTAGCCTTGTTGTTTACAATGTACGGTCGTGCGAAATGCCTACGCATGATGGCCACGCATCTGTACAATGCAGCGCGACTCTGTGAACATTGTTGCAAAGTCGTTCAACGCGCAAACCGGTGGCAAAAATTGCTCGCGAATCCCGCCTCGGGATGTATTTTTACCTTATTGCATAATTATTCATCGATATCAATCATGTGTACTTATTAAGACAACGTTGCTTTACTCATTCGCCAATAAGTAGACGAAACGTCCCACACGGCAGAAATATTCAAAATACATCACAGAGATATTCTGAAAATATTGTGATATTCTTAGAATATCCATGTGATGTATTTCGAACATTTCTCCTGCGTGGGGTTTGAGAAGAGCAGACCCTATATATATATATATATGGTATATATATTAAATTATTTTATAGATGAATCGCAAATTTAGATGTTTAATGTGGCAAAGATGTGGAAGATGGAGACGAGAAAGCACTTACATGTCTGGAGCCGCAAGCGCCGCAGATATAAATCCGCGGTCTCGCCCATTCGCCGCTCAATTCCGCGTTCACAGCCTCCTCCTGGACGCTGGCCGCCTCGTTGGCGCCCTGCTCTCGCCTGGTCACTTTCATAAACTCCGCGAATTCGGCGTTGAAGTCCGCGCTCGCCGGCGTAGACTTGGTCGGATCCGACGACGCGGCGGATGACTCCATAGTCGTCGTCGTTTCCTGCTTGATCTCACATGAAGGCGGTTCGCCGAGGCCGCAGCAGATCGCGTCGAGAGCGGAAGTGGCGTCGACCCCGCTGCCGTCATTGGTGCTCTCCTGCTTAATCGTCGTCGCGGTCTCGACGACAGACTCGGCCTGTTCCGGCTCACGCACCTCAGTGCTCTCACTGGGCGGCGACACGGCAGTTTGACCCACCCTGCTAATGGCGACGCGTTCCTTGATCAGCTGTTGCTTCTTCCTGAGCAACAGCTGCGTGGAAATGTCGAAATTGCTGAGATCCTTGATGGAGCATGTCCAGCCTTGACCCCTGCCGTCGTACTTCCGCGGGAAATTGTACTTCTCGAAGGAGACTCTGCGCGGTCGCGACCCGCTACTGGTCTTACCGGCTTTACGGGCGTATTCGCTCGAGTTCTCGTACTCCTCGGCCGTGTAGTCCTTGCTGTAGACCGGCGTCGCCGCGGTTAGCGAGATGTCGATGGGAAATTGAATCTGATTAACACTGTGCTCGTAGTAGGACTGTTGTGTTTGTTGTTGTTGCTGTTGTTGCTGTTGCTGCTGCTGTTGCGATTTCGGCTCCGTCGTCGTCGTCGTCGTCGACGACGATGTCGACGTCGACGTTGTCGCCGTTGTCGTCGTCGTCGTCGTCGTCGTCGTCGTCGTCGTCGTCATCGTCGTCATCGTCATTGTCGTGTTCGCGACAGTGACCGATGAGGACGTCGGCGACAAGCCGCTTATCGTTTGCAGCTTACCGTCCAGGTGGTGCAGCAGATTTTCGCGGATGTTGCAGCTCACGTTGGTGTAGAAGGAACTGTCGAACTCGGGACTGGCCGGGTTATCGACGGGCTCTCGTGTCGCGATGAGTTTCGTCCGATTGTTGTCCAATCGAACGTCACCTTGACTCTCCGATTCGCTCTCTTCGGGTCTTCTTTCTCTGATCGACGGCGCGTTCACCTTCTCGCGGATACTTTGGCCGCAGAATTCCTTGCAGGGCGAGCCTTCTTTGACTTTTTCCGGCTGGAAGGAAAAGGGAGGCTTGGTCTGATGTCAATTGTGAGTGATGCGTTAGTACTTTCAAACTGGAGACTCATGTCACGTTAATTTTTCCCGATCAACAGGGTTCAGATGCAGACGAGAATTTAACTCAGAGAAGCTGAGCATTGTATCTCAAAATTCACGATCGGGAACGTTACAAAATGGGAAAAAGGAAGGAAAGCGGCGAAAAAATGTACGTCAATTCTTACTCATCGGATCAGTCCGTGATAGCGGTTGCGGAAAAAAAAAAAAAAAAGAAAAAGAGAGAGGGAAGACCGAAAACGGCAATCTCGGTGAAAAAGACGAAAAACTCGCGAACAAAGATCTATACTCTACTTGAGAATTCAGGTGACACGCGGGAAAGAGAGAAGGACAGTCGTCATCGATTTCCAAGGCATTTACCTGAGCCTGGCCGGTCCTCTCGGCACCACTGCCGTGTACCTCGCTCGTGTGGCCCATCAGAGCCTCCCGGCTAGGAAACCTCGTCGAGCATTGAACACACGCGTGGTACTTGTCCCCGTGACTGCTGACCATGTGTTGAAACAGTCCATCTAACGTGTCGGCGCACCTCTCCGAGCAATACTGACAATTTTGCGAAGGTTTCCGTGGATTTCTTTCCGATCTCCTGCCGCCGCCGAGTTGGTGCACCCTCTCGGTGTGTCGCTGCCGCAGGGATATGGATGCGAACTTTCTGTCGCAGTACAGACACAGCAGCCTGACCGGGGCGGTGGAGGACGACGGCTTCGACGGCGGCAACAGCTTCTGCGTCGGGCTCTGCGCCGCGCCGACTGACGAGGACGACGAGCCCGAGAACGCCGCCGAGGAGACCCGCGAGATCAGCGACTCGCCCGTTTGACAGTTCTGAAGCACGGATACGACCTTGTCTAAGGGCAGACTGCAATGTAGACTCGTCAACAGCAGCTCTTGGCTGGTCTCCTTCGTCGTGGTCTCCTTCACCCCCGACTCGACATTGCTCATGAGATCTTGTAGCGTCTCTTTGCAGATTCCTCGCGACGCTGCTTTTGCGTCCTTTTGCTCCTCTCGCTGATCTCCTCCTCTGCCGTCGTCGACGTTCGCCCTTTCGTTCGCCTGATGCTCACTCAACCTGTCTACCACGACCGTGTCCAGAGTTCGAGTCTTCTTCTCCCGCGAGACGTCCCGGTGGTCGCCTTCATCACAGCTATCCAACGATTCTTTCTCATCGACATCCGTACGCCCTTCCTCCGTTTTTCGAAGAGGTACCTTCGATTCTTGCTCCACTCTCTCCTCCGAGTCCTCGACCGTCACCTCCGTCGTGCCCTTCGCCTCCGGGCAATCTACCATCTCCGAGGACCCGACATTGTTCTCCGTGTCGCTGGAGCTGATTGTCATGGTGGTGTCGTCCAATTGCGGCACAACGGCCGCTTCGATATCACCTTCGCCCAAAGGCTCCTTCGTCTTGTCGGCGTTCTTGCCACCCACGACGTCCTCCTTGTCCTCTTCGTCGTCACCCTCGATCACGTTACTCAGCATCGTCATCACGTACTTTTGCAGACTCTCCAGGTTCCTCTCGACACTGGACCGATCGTCCTCCTCCTCCTCCCTCGGTGAATCGGGAGCCGCCGCCGCGTTCCTGGAAGCTCCGTCCGGCACCTTCTTGCGCAAGTTGTTGATCACGTTGCTCAGCCGAGATCGCTTGTCCTGGGCGGTCTGGGTCGATCTGTAGGCGTGACCGTACCGCTCCTGCAACTGCTGTTGCTGCTGCTGGTGCTGCTGGCGGTCGCCGCTGCTCGCGTTGGCCGGATGGTTGACACCCGGATCGTCCAGGCTCTGTGTCGACGCCACCATGCCAGATGACGCCGTCGTACAGGCTGCAGAGGAAACGGACAATTTCGCCGTACGGTAACCCTCGGCCGGCTCGTCGTTCGGTGTGTCGCCGCTACCAACTACGTCCGTCGATGCCGCCTCTGCAAGAATTCGCCGCTTTAACGCTCTCGAGCAGCGCCTCGGCGCGAAATATCGAAGGGTGTCCGCGCGCGCGAAGGAAGCCCTCGCGGTGTCTCTCGGACACGTTTGGGACGCGCGCCGGCATCGAGAGAAGTGTTCAGCCTCGCCGAGGTGTATCGCTTAATTTATTTTCGGATTGCGCGAGATAATCGTTTGAAGAGTCGGCCGGCGTGAAGACGAAATAAATCGCCTGCCATTGAGAAACAAACGAAGCACGACGCTCGTTTGTTTACTCAGGTATTACGGTCATCGCGGAGCTCCGCGTAATTTCGTTATACGGACGGAATCGTTAACTCTGTTTAAAGTTCTCATCTCGCTTCAACGGATATGCCTACAGCACGATCGCCCTCTGAGCGACGACTGATTCGACCGGGTCTCGGTCAACGATTCTCCATGTCTTTCACTCCGTTTGCGTATCCAGCATTTAGAGCTAACGATTCAGTTCATCCGGACGCAAATTAATCATCGGTGCAAGGTGTTCGTGTTCAGTCTTCCTTTGTTTGTTCGCCGAACTGGGATTGTATAAAGAACGGCAAAGAGAGAGAGAGAGAGAGAGAGAGAGAAAAAGAGGCCAATTTGTATATGTAAGTTGGCGCCGACACGACGTCGGCGAAACCGACGATCATCGTCGCGCTGTAATTCAAAACGCACACCACTTCATCTTACGTAACATGCTAACTTTTACCCGTTCGTCCCTTCAGTTTGTGTAATTGAAGGGATCAGCGTAAGAATGAGAGATAAAGTCCCGACTTACTCTAAACCCATCGTCCATCGTATCCTAGACACGACTTCGCCTCGGGGATGGACCTCGCGAATCATAGATTCCTCTTATCTCGCGCTGAGAATCACATCGAGTCACTTGCTCATTTTCTCGTTATTTGGAAAAATGCGTCTACTGTTTGGTGAGAAATCGAAGATACCGAAAATAGAGAAATATACAAGACGATTTGTGCTATTTCACCACGATAGGATCAAAAAGAGCGAGAGAGAGAGAGAGAGAGAGAGAGAGAGAGAGAGAGAGAGAGACCGCTCTCCTCGACTATGCCTCCGCCGACACTTTTTTATCCGGAAGTCGGGGAGAAGGGAGGCTGCGAGAATCGATAACCGTCCCTCTGCCACGTCGAAAGGGGTTACGGCTGTACGAGTAGCGTGTGCTACGAAAGGGAGGAGAAAGAGAGAGACGGGCGTACACACACGCGTATACACATTCGCACACGCCGGCATGTATGTACTGTACGACGCGGCACACGCACACACACACACACACACATACACACACACACGTACACACGTTGCAGCCCCTGACGACCAGCCCCGAGGTGGGAAAAACCGGCCGGCTTGGTAACACCGACGACAATCCCTCCGACCGACCATCCACTTCGTTTTGCAGAAGGCGTCGACGACAATGATAATTAATGGTTTGCCTATCGCGGCTTGTTAACGATATCGATATCGATATATTGCCACCCCCCCCCCGCGGCGCGTTATCGATTAGCCCTCGGCCGGTGGAGATATATATACGAGAGCGCTGCGACGGGCTGTATGCGCCGGAGAGAAAGAAAAGGAGGGAGGGGGGAGAGAGAGAGAGAGAGGGAGCAGAAGAGAGTCGTACTTTAAAAACTTAAAACTGCTTAAGAAATGAAGATCACGTTAAAAAAAGATCACGTTGAGGAAATTTATGCGCGGTATTATAAGTGTGCACATTCCTCGTGACGCTTCAAACCAGAATCGGGTATTTCCCGTCTCGCTTCTTCTTAGCTCGCGCGTTTTCCTCGTTACGAAAATCTTTTGATTCTCTTACGAAATACCTTCCGCGGGAAATAATGTCAACGTAAGTTTCGCGATAGATGGAAATTGTATCTGCATAGAATTTCCGACTAATTTTCTCCTTCTCGGGCTGCGCTCCCGCGGGAATTTTCCGCGCAAATTTTCATCCTTCCGGGAGCCACCACGAGAAATGTTTTGCTCTCTCAAAAGAGCCTTCCCGTGAAAATTCCCGCGGTATCGCGCTCGTGTGGCCGAGATAAGCGAGAAGGTGCAGTACCGTAACGCTGATAAGAAATATCGATCGCCCGCGAGGTCCGAAAGAGGCCGATTAAAGGAAGCAGCGTGCGAGGGGCGAGGCAAGTCCGCGATTTGTAAGGCTCTTTAAATATGAAAACGCATCTAAAGCGAGCTTTTCTCGCGATCCGCTGCCTCGCCTCGCCTCGCCTCGTCACCTTCGCACCGCACCGAATCCTTCGCTTCCTGCGATCGAGAGGTCGCGCGCGTTAGGTGCAGCGGCTATCGCTCGCGGCGTTTATCGGCAAAAGATTTATCGTTGTCGTCGCATCCGAGCAAGTTCGATAATTATTTAGTCGCAGCATTGCGGCATCGTGACCGTCGCCGCCGTTACCACCGCCGCCAACGTCGCGATTACGATCTCGACCAGCGTGACTACTTTCGAAATCCCTTGTGTTTGCATACGTACAACTGCCGTGCGAGTCCGTGGATGACGCGTTACGCAATGCAACGAACGCAAGAATACGTCGTACTCGCACGATGTACGCATGTGTGTATGCGAGCGCGCTCGGGGACCGATAAGCCACGGTCGTCCCCGCGCGCGCCTTGAAAAAGATACGGCCGCGCGCGTGTTACGCTCGTCGTGTCGCAGAAACAGAAGGGAGCGAGTGCGAAATGATCGGTTTCGACGATCGGTATCTCGGAGCGCTCGCGATCCCAGATCGAAAAATGAGTTCCGTTGCGCGGGACGAGGCCGGCCGAAACGAGGCGCACAATAGGAGTGCAAATGGAATAAAATGCACACACGCGATACGTTGTAATGAAAAAATCGTTGCTGGTAGCTCGCACTTGTTTGTTGATCGTAAGAACGCGCTTGAAGCGAGAAAAATGTCGCCTTCGCCTAAAAGAGAGAAGTCTTGAGGGATTTTTCTCTGGCGTGTGTGTGTGTGTGTATGTGGCTTGTGCGATCTTGGATACGCGCACGACTGCGCGATGAAATTTTACATTTATTCGCCAAGTTATTCAATTTACTCCGCGGGAACCTGCCGCGACTCTGGGGCTTTGCGGGAGAAATGAGTTTTTGGACCTGCATCCTCCCACAAATATACGCGGCATAGCGCGCGCCAGGGCCTTGAAAACAATTGTCATGCCATCGCAATCCGCCGCGCCGGCTGCACGTTCGCGTTTACGGTTGCGCTCAGGAGGCGACGATCGAGCCACAAGTTTTGCACAAAGTCGGATTAGAACTCCGAGGTTGTCACCGTTTTTTGCCTTCTGGGCTTCACCGAATTCTTTTCTGCTTTTTCAATGTACAGGGAAACTGGGATATTTGCAATTCTTTCCGGTGGAGCGACCATCCTGAAATTACACGGCCTGCTAATAGCGCGCCACGTGGCAAATTATCGCAAATAACTATGTGAGGACTTTAGAGCCGATTTTATCTCGACGGTATTTTCCTAACGCATTACCTCATGTTGTATGAAATAAAAGTGCAATGTGTGTGCATCCAATAGTGATAAATCATATTCTTCGTTGTCTCGTTATTTACGCCCAGATGTATCCGATCGTGATGTTAAATTGCGTGTAAAATTTTTATTCGATATTAAATATCTCGCGCTACTCGTCTCATCGTAAAAACGATTCCGACGAGAAGAGAGCTGATAAAAAAATTGCATAAAAAAAAATGCATCGAAGAAACACGATGCGGCGCGGATGGGACACTTCCTTCTGCAGGTGTACGGAAGAATTACGATCGCTGACTCGGCGTTAACGACGATCCTCAAACTAACGACGGCCGAGTGTTTTTCGACCAAAAATTTTCCATTTTCCTCTAGAAAGCAGATTTTTTCTCTAGAAAGCAATTCAACAAGTCGATGTCCATGGAAAAATACGCGGTCGCGCGAATTATTCTTCGTATCATTGCGTTTACCGTTCTTCGTTCCGTTTTATTCCTCATCATGCAAAATCATAAGATGGAAATTGTTGTTATTGATATATCGTTAAGGGACTCACCTCTGGTTGGTGCCGGTGGAGCCCTTTTCGGGGTGTCGTCGGCGGAGGGTGTTCTTTCCCTCATACTTTCCCGCAAGGTCACCTAGCGTCATCATTCGGGCCTAAAACAACTGAAAGAACGAAACCTGCTTAAAGATAACAGTGCCAGCGAAAATATTAATATTAATATTAATACTACTGCTATTGTTATATATAATAATAAATAGATCTACAACCTGTGTACAAGTTGTGAGTCGTCGACAAGAAAAAGAGAAACGTTATATAAACGCAGTACATACATTTTTATATTATCGAGATATAATTCCGAAAAATCAACACACGGGAGAAAGGAAAGATGAAGAATATAGGCTCGGCAGAAACAGAAAAAAAAAAAGATCGTAAAATGCTATGAAGATTCGAGATTTAAAATCTATTCCCTCCGTCTAATTCGCAGTATTTATCCTCATTTGCTCTCTCAGCGATGATATAAAGAGGGAATCTATTTGCTTGCCTATTTGTTTGCTCGCGTATATAAATTCGTTATATAAATAGAATGCGCGATAAAAAGTGACGCGAGAAGCTCGAGTGACCCCGTAGACGCCCATGAATCAAATTCGATTTACAAATTTCGCATTTTAATAAGTTTAAAGAATCGTGTCGTGCGCCTCGAGGCATTCGCTTAGCTAGTCACGCGGAAGTTCGATAGTCGCGTGAGCGCGAGGGCCGATTCTCGCGCGGAGGCTCTCTCGCGAAAGAAGAAAGAACGAAAGAAAGAAAGAAAGAAAGAAAGAAAGAAAGAAAGAAGAGGAAGAGGAGGAGGAGAAGCAGGAGGAGGAGGAGGAGGAGGAGGAGGAGAAGAAGGGAGAAGGAGGAGTAAGAAAAGGGAGAAGAAAGAAGAAAAAGGAGGACAGGGAGAAAGGTGTTTGCCTTCGCCGAGGATCGGGCCGACATCGATTTTCGAGAGAACGCGCGTCGTCTGGCCAACGCCGGAGTAATGGAGAATTGTCGCGACGAATGAAAATGAATGCGTGAATAAATGAATGACAAAAATAAACTTTGCTATTACATAGATTAACATATATTTAAAAATTGGAATATTAATAAGCCCTCCGCGGAGAGGTATCCGCTTCTCGGCATATATCATTAACTGAATACTGCATAAATTTGACGGTGATCCGCGACATACATCAGTCACTTTGAGTTTATTCATGTTTTTGATATTTCTTTACGTTAAGAAAAGAACACAAAGATTAGATTTGTCTAATCATGAGACAGATTTTAAAGCAACCAGAATATTAAAATATTGGTCGTTGTTCAGCTTCAAGGTGTCTTACGAAAAGTTTCCTCGACAGATAAGATAAAAATTCAATACCTTCGCTGTCAATTATCTTTCTCGATACTTGTGAGCATTGAAGAATAATTGCAATTTTAGTGAAAAAATCCTGCTCCCTACAAGCGAAAGACGCGTAGCGGTGTGAGAAGTCCGCTCATTACGTAACTCAAGCGAGAAAACAAGAAAATGCGAGAATGTGCGTTACTTAAAGGGTAAAAATAAAGGAACTTTAATAGCGACACACACACACACATACATACTCGATATCTCGCGGTAATTTCCGCAAAATAAGAAACGGCAGAGCCAGGAATCCGTCGGAGACCGGCACTCACGTCGACTTCTGGGATTAAGTGACAACATGAAGTAGTAGGTGAAACATTACGAAGGAGGGCAGAAGGGAAACGGTGGCACAGCAGACATAGAGAAAGGGAGGACGAGAGGGAGAGAGAGAGAGAGAGAGAGAGAGAGAAGGGGGGAGGAGGGAGAAAGGGTGAGCAGGAGGGAGGGAAGGAGGGAAAAGGAACGAGGAGAAGGGAGGGAGAATCAACCGCGGGGAGTGCGCCCTGTATCCTGGGTGGAACTTAAAATATCGAGCGTCACGCACACCGACGCTGGCGCCGGAAACTCGGGAAACGCGGCGTCGCGGCGCGCCGCGTCGCGCCGCGCCGTGCCGGTTTGACGCGCGTCGAGGAGGAACCTGGAAATAGAACTTGGACGCCAGGGACGCGAGGCACCGCCTATTAAAATCCCCCCCGGGAATCGGCTGGAATTTTCAACAGGTGAAAAAAGTGGAAATTCCGGTACACGTCGGTATCTTCGCCGTCGCGAACTATGCAACCGAGAGAGAGAGAGAGAGAGAGAGAGAGAGAGAGAGAGAGAGAGAGAGAGAGAGAGAGAGAGAGAATTCACTGGCGATCTCGCTGATCTTCCACTCTCTTCCTCTCCGTCTCATTTGTGCATGTCGCGCGTGGAAATTCCTAAACGATTCAGCCGTTATGACGTAGATTCCGCATGTGCATCGGATCGGCGTAACGCGGCAAGGACGACCGCGCGAGTGTCCTTGCTCACGCCAGTCCGGCGAAGGATGCGTCTCGCACGAGAACAACGAATATCGATATTTCTCTTTTGTCTTTAACAATGTTTTGTATTATGGTCAACGCCTCGAAATTAATGTATTGCAGCGAATCAAGCAGCAATCAAGCAAAAACTGATTTTTTGCAGCTGAAATAGTGGCTTCCTTCGAAGCAGCGGAATAATTAATTAATGCCTCAAGCGAGGATAGGCATAGTAACATTGATGGTTCTCAGGTTTATCAGCCTCACGTCTTTTTCATTTAGAGTATAAACACTGCGATGCATCTCTCTAAACATTAGCAGAGAGATTAAAACCACGAGCGAACGGGTTTCATAATTCTATTACGTTTCGTAATTCTAATTAGACAATAATTATACGTTCGACACAGTCCTCTGTGTATGGTCAAATATAATTTCCTGACGAGTAACCCTCGACATTTATAGTCTTTCTCTCATTTACCCAACCATTCATCACGGCGATTCAGCGGATTTCGCCGCGTATATTTTATACTAATAATTTCACATTAATGTAATTTTATGTTAATGTAATTTATTGTTTTTAATAACGCAACTTTATCTTCCCGATTTAATTCTTATCAAATTTTTAATTTTTACGCAACGTCCAATTTCATGGGCGATTATTCGCACTTTGCAAATCCGTCGGCTAAATATTTTTTCCATCTTGTCGGCGAACTGAGCCAACAGCCGAATATTTGTAAATTCAATCGTCGTCCTAACCTCACGCCGTTCGCCAGGAATGCTGAAACGCGGCATTCCAGGATGGAAAAGTCCACGGCGTTGCCGTGACTCTCTTATCTTTTCCACCTTTCCTCTCCTTCTATCCACCGGAAAAGTTTAATCCGCATCGACCGATGGTACGTAATGCTAATCAGCTACAGATACTAAAAACGCGGTAATGAGATGCGAGTTTGTAGAAAATATTCCTTTACACATCTTCTGTAACAATAAGACTGTGTGATATATATCATAGTATATTTAACGAGAAACAATTATGACGACAGCAAACTGATGTAACATTATGTATACTACAGATCGCGAGGAAATACAGAATCATTAAGTCGCTATTAATTATCATTACGAATGATATTTCGAAATAACTGAGATATCGTCAAATACAAGGTGATATTGATGTAGCAACTTTTATAGCAACAACCGTACAGGATCGCAATATTTGCAACATTTCATAATTTACGCAAATTTATTTTCTTTTTTCAATAAAATTATACGGGAAAATCAAAATCAATCGTTTAGGTTTCTTTATATCGAATTCTAAAAGAAGATCCATTCGCGACCGCTGATGTGTAAAGTGCCGATATGAACCAGCCGGGCAGAGAGGCTGTATTGGTGAAAAAATATATCGACATGACCGGAGATAAAATTATCTCGATGGCGTATTAATTAATGTAATTTCGTTGCATTATCAACACCTACGGAACTGCGTTTAATCGCATATTATTTGGATTCTCCAGATCAGGAGGCTGTTTATAACGGTGCACGTACATATATCGTTGCTCGAGTTGCTATTTATTTATTCTCAATTACACCACACTAATCATAAATCACGATTAACCCTTTTCGCTGCGGCGCATTAAGTTTCCGTGATGATATTAACGACAAACAAAGCACAGCGGGATGTAAATCGCTAATCAGAAATTTATACACGTTAATTCCGTAATGCAGGAATATTAAACAACAAATGCTACTAGTGGCGCATAATAGTGTAATATTAATTTATTATCAGCGAATGCATACGCGGTGATTTCACGCGAGCGAGTAGACGCGAATTTGTTCTTTCGTTTTGCCGTTGCGAAATTATTACAATTACTTGCTTGCTTTTGTCCATCGATTTTCGATGATTCTCCGCGATACATTCGCGTGCAATTTGTTCCATTTTTCATTATGACACGAGGATCATTACCTTAATGAATTGATATTCTATCGGGCTGATTCCGCTTTCCAATCAAACGCGACGATCTTTCGCAGGAGGAGCTGTCGATAGTTCGCTTCCCCGCGATCTCGCAAACGCGGGACTTTACAAAATCCACGAAAATCCATATCTTCCTTTATCCGACGATAGTACGGAATTCGCAGAGGCCCGTCACGAAGAACGTAATAAATCTCCATGAGGCTGAAACCCTATTTAGAAAAGTTTGGAACAGCCATAACTTTTTCGCGCGTTCCTTATGGGTTTTCCCGATTCTTCCTAACGGTGTCCCTCGCGACCCCCCTCCCCGCTTGATCGATCGACAAATTTCCGCCGGTGATATAAACACAGTCCAATTGTTCATCATCGACGCTTCACACATTGTGGCTGTTACATTTGTTGCACGCCATGTTCGTTTTATGTGCATCGTGTTCCTTTGTTATTCATCGCGAAACTATCAACCGCGATTATCCAATACTAATGCACAAGATGTCTCTCGTGCAACAACGCGCTGAATTAGCGATACTTCGATTTAACTATTCGTCCGCAGACACGGAAAATTCCACCGGAGAGTGAGAGAGAGAGAGAGAGAGAGAGAGAGAGTGAGGGGGGGGAAAGGACGAGACACCTTTCTGTCTCGTCAGTAGGACGTGGTACATATATCAATAACAATAACAATGACAAATAGATATTACGCATCCCGAAGATAGCGTAAAATAATCGGCGACGGCACGACGAGAGAACGACAATAACAGCGCAATTATATACCACTATCGCTAT